TGAATTCTAGCAGTGCTGAGTGCATGCAGCTCCTGCTCTGGTAAACAGGGTTGCATGTACTTATGTCAGCAATGCATTTTTGCAGTATCTCAGCAAATGTCAGTCATAGCTGAGCTTTCATGCTTCTGCTGCACATAATGCCCTGAGGCCGATACGTGGACGAAGGGATGGAAAAACCCAGTTATCCTGTGTATGTATTTAATAAGCTGTCTAGTCTAGTAGATAATTCTGAAGCTAACGAGATGTGATTGTATGTTCTGAAGCAAGGCTGTTTGTCCATACATTTACATCCTTGGTTTAATCACACTGTACGTGGTTCCAGAGGCAAGTCTGAGGAATGTGGAAGAAATGTGGACTGTTGTATGCAATGTATACCATGACTGCAGCTATTGCTTTACAGTCCATCACACTTGGTCAGAGTTGCAGAAATAACACGCCTCTTCAGTAGATCAAAGAGGAGACACTGACACAAGGTGGAATTTCATCCTGTGAATGCTTGAGCTGCTGTTTTAACAACACAATACCACACTAAGCACTCGGTGATGCAGCACAAGGATTCAGGGAACTGAGGGGGAGTTGTGGGCAGTGATCTCCCAATGACATTGTCTAAGCTAAGTCTATCTTAAAGTCTTTTTACCATTCAGATAACAATGGAGGAAACAGAAGAAGTTGCGAGCCATAGTAACACTGGACTGATCCAGATTATCCCCCTTACAGGAGGGGAACAGCACCGTATGTGCAGCCAGAGAAGGCACTTGCTAAGATTGCTGTTGCCAGTACACTTGGGACAGTTTGTGAGGGAGCCATCCTTACAAGGCAATTCAAGAGCACATCATCACTGTGATCACAGAGACTTGACCACAGGCCTTACACTTGACCACAGCCAAAGAATGGAATCAGCCTGAGCCAACAAAGGCAAAAGCAAGGCTAAGATCTGGCCAGTTTATATTTTTAAAAATTGTGAGAGAAAACAAAGGGCATTGACAAAGGAGTGGGGAGTCACTGAACTCCATTTTAGTAGACTATCATTTCACTTTGCCACTATCCATGATTTGAGTAGACCAGTAACAGCCTGGCAATGCTCACCTCTTAATCACACTGTATAGACAGAAAATAGGGAGTAAATTAATCTGTTGGAAGCAAAAACTTAGCATAGAAATTACTTCATTGTTTTCATGATACCTGCTTCCATTTTGATCTTTTTCTCCTGTGTTTGTAAATACTACCAGCCATCCAGAAAGATGAAGTAGCCATATCTCTAAAAAAAGCTTTTAATTTCCTGGAGCAAATGTATTTGTCTGTTTTTTGAAATTTGTTTTCTGCAGCTGAAATTGGGTGCACAGCCATGTTTTCTTAATGTATCTTTGGTCAATACAAAATACTGTGGAGTTTGGCATCATAAATGTGATTTCACTTATGCTTGGCCTCATTTGAAGAATTTACTTTATGCACCTCTTCTAAACCACAGATTAGAGAAGACCAAATTATCCTGCCTAACCTCACTCATCTGACATGGATAACTGTGTATCAGTGAGATGATGGTCAAGCCAAATGTCAACATCTGCCTAAAGAACAGTGTTTAAACAGCAGGGGTGATATAAAAAGTGTCATTCCCTTCCGCAGCACAGCCAGTATTTTAACAGCTGCTCTCCAATCAGTGAGCATGGTACAGAGCTCAAGCTAATAAATGCTGCTGTGCTGCTAAATGGTTCTGTGCCTTTGACTACATCAGCAGGGAGGAGATTCCAGTAGAGCAGGTCTATGGAGCACATGACAAAGTGCTGAGGACTCCCCATCTGCACTATAAGGGAGTCTGAATTCTGCTGCAGACTGGCTCTGGTCTGTCCTGTTGAACTGAATGCTCATTAACAGCTGGGATGCATTAGCTGCTTTCTCAGACTGAATCTTCTGTTTCATCTTTATTTGAAAGGAATCCAGTTCATGAGCTGTGGGACTGCTCGGCAGAGAAAGCCAGAGCAGAGTGAGCAAGGGACAATCAGGAAACTTGATCTGAAATGGTCACTCAGTGGTGGATGTCTTAGTCTTACTTTTTGACCACATGGCTGCAGACAGAATCAAGCGTGCTGTTGCCTTGAGAAGGCTGACAGGTTGTGGAAAGGATGCAAGAATGGACAGAGGAGAAGAGGAAAAGCTGTGCAACATGCATGGAGAAGTTGGTCACCCTCACTCCACAACATTCATTTGATTTTAGGCCTATTTGTGGCAATGGCATAACCAGATCCTGAGCAGGATATTTGCTGGTGTGTAGCATGTGCAAAGTTCAGTTAAGGATCTTGTATATGGAACTTAGGTTTGAATTTTCTGTAACCTCACCAACAGTTAAGGTAGATTTTATAGTTTAAAATCTGGAAAACAAGAGGAAAAAAAAATCAGAATTTCTCATAGATGCTACTTGTAGCTCTTCAGATCTTTCATATTCCCCTACTGACAATATTCCTTAGGGCATCAGAGCTCCAGGAGGACAAAAGAAGTCCTTCTCTTGTACCAAAGTGGATTTTAACAGGAATATTGTGGGGAAACTGCTGTTAAGAATGGCTGTTGATTGTCTCCACTGTGTCTGGCAGTCCTGTTTCTCTTTCCTCAGCTGGGATCTCTGTGGTATGATTTCCTGCACAAGTAGCTACTTTCTGGCTATCAAAGCTATGTGTTACTTCATTTCCAAGCTGCTGTTTAAACATAGTGGGTTACAAGGTGAACAAGGTGTCTGTACCCTGAGAGGAAACCTGCACAACGAAAGTGCATTAACACCCTCATTGTTTGCCCTCTGCTCTGCCACAGAAAGCTCTTGGCATTACAGCCCATGTCTTCAGAGTTCCTAAATTGAAACCAAGGCTTGTGTGATTCTCATCAGGCTCTACCCTATCCCGATTTTATTGTCCATATAATTTCAAAGTGTATTACTGAAATTAAAATATTTTGGTAACTGCTTTTGCAGAAAGAAAAAAAAAAAAACCTAAAACAAACAAACAAAAAACCAACCAAACAAAAAAACCCCACCACAGGTAGTAGGTCTACCCTTCCCAATTATTTGAAGGTCGAATATGGACTGGAGCAGAGCAAATGGCAGTTGCAGCAGTTAACCTTTGTATAGTGCTCTCCAGAACAACCTCTGCACTTTGCTACTGTCAAGTCTGGTTTTTGGCTCCATTTTATCCTTCCTGGCCTATTTCCAGTCTAGTTTTTTTTCTGAAGAATTTTATTTAAAGGATTTTCAAGAAGACAACTGATGAAACAGTTTAAGAAAACAGTCAAGCTAAGGGAGTGGTGTCTGCTTTTATTTCTTCTAATAAATTGGTTAGTTTATGGAAAAAAAAGTTTTATCATACCTTGCTAAGAGTTTCACATGCTACTTCCTACTGGCAGTTTACCAAGTGAGCGTGGCTGAGTGCTCTGTACATGGAGGTGGTTTCCTTTGATTCTGGAACCCAAAGTCTGCAGAGCCTTGAAGGTGAAGGTGTAGGGTTTTCAATGGGAGTGGTTCAGTGTCTTCTGGAAGTAGATGACAGTAGCATTAGTTCACACATGTTACTAGGATATTTCAAATCAATACAATACAGTTTCTAGAACAAACTACCCATGGACAGAACACTGAAATACAGGAGTGCAGTGCAGGAATACCAGGTTGAATGAACAAGATGTGAGGTATCTTAGAATGATACAATCATCAAGGTTAAAAGACACCTTTAAGATTGTTAATTCCAACCTTCAACCTAGCACTGCTGCTTATTTGTCATTATTGTCTGATTAGCCTTTTTTGTTGTTGTTTCTAGATTGTGACTTCTAGTGCTGTTTGAGCTTTCTAGAACAAATATGAAGTATTTTACTTGCCTACTGAAATCTAGCATTAATGTCATAGTGTTCAGAATTGCTAGAGAAAATGTATTGGCTGACTGATGGCTGGTAAAGTCAATATTTTATGCAAAGTCTCTGTGTTCATCAAAATTTTTAAGATATGTTATGGAAATATGAATTATATCCTGACAGGAAGCCACATGGGGCATGTCTGCTACTGTTTCTCCTGTGTGGAAGAACCAGGTTACTGTTAAGCTGTTTAGACACAGGAACAGACTGGGGTGGAGACCAACAGCTTTATGGAGCAGGGGCTGGATCAAGCATGTCAAGAGAGAGGTGATCCTGGGCCCTAGTGAGGACACCTGGAGATCTCTATCCAGTTCTGGCTCCTCAATAGGAGACAGACAAGGCAAAGCTGGAGAGGAACAGCGGAGGCCACAAAGATGAGGGATCTGGAGCATCTCTTATGAGGAGAGACTGTGGGAGCTGGGCCTGTTTATTCTGGGGAAGACTGAGGGACCTCATGAATGCATATAAACATCTCAAAGAGAGGAGCCAAGAGGATGGTGCCAGACTCCTTCCAGTGGTGCCCACCAACAGGACAGCAGCAATGGCCAAAACTAAACCACAAAAAATTCCACTTCAACATGAGAGAACTTCTTTATGCTGAGGGGGGTAGAGCACTGGAACAGCTGCCCAAGGAAGGCGTGGAGTCCCCCACTTTGCAGACACTCCAAACCCACCCGGACCCGTTTCTGTGCCACCTGCTCTGGGTGACCCAGCCTTGGCAGGGGGGTGATCTCCACAGCTCCCTTCCAGCCTGCCCACGGCTGTGATTTCCCGAGCGATGGCGAGCAGGGAGCACAGCCGCCTCGCCCTCAGCGCCGCCTCCCCGCGCGCCGCGGAAATGGCGCCCGCGGGAGGAGCCGGGGCCGCCGCGGGGCCGCGCAGAGCGGGAGCGGGAACGGGCCCGGCCAGGCCCAGCCCCCGGGCGGCAGGGAGGGAGGGAGGGAGGATGGAGGGAGCCGGCCTCTCCTCTCTCCGCCCCCTCGCTCCTCTCCCCTCCCCCGCGCTCCTCTCTCCGCCCCAGCGCTCGGCCCTGGTGAGCCGTGCCGCCGCTTCGCAAAGCCCGTCCTCAGACCGGCTCCAGCCGCCGCCGCCCGAGAGCCGCCGCAGCCCTCCCGCGTCGCCCACATGGAGGATTACCACAAACCCGACCAGCAGACGCTGCAGGCGCTGAAGGACACGGCCAACCGGCTCCGCATCGGCTCCATTAAGGCCACGACCGCGGCCGGCTCCGGGTGAGTGAGGGAGGCGGGCGTGCAGCGACCCAGCCCCGGCCGCACACCAGAGCCGCGCTCCCGCATCCCGGGGCTGCATCCGGCCTGGGGATGCTGCTGGGAGGGGCCGTGCGGGCTCCCGCTGCCCGGAGACGCTCCGGTGCCACGGGGCAGAGCCCCCGGTGCCGGTCCGCTTCCCGCCCGCGGTGCGGGGGTGCCGCAGGCCCGGCCGTGCCGCCCGCGGGAGCGCTGGGGCGGCGTGCGCGGGGATGGGCCGGCCCCCGCGGAGCCCGGCACCCCCGGCGCTGAGGGATGCGGAGCGGCACGTGTGGAAATGGCGGCCGGGGGCTCCGCGGGCTGAGCCCGCCCGGGCCGGCCACGTCGGTCGCCGGTGCCGGCGGGTGTTGTGACTGGGAGAGAGGCCGGGAATGCTAAGTTGGGGCAGGACTGAAAACCAAAGAATTTGTGCCCGAGGCGCAAGCGGCTTCTTTTTCATTGCGTGCCCGTCAGTTGGAACTAATTCTGCACAGAATTTCAAGTGAGATTATCTGTGATAATCCCAAGTGGGATTATCTGTGCAATGCCCGCGGTCTCCAATGGGCAGTTTATTCAGGCCTCTGGACAGGATTTAGTGTGGGCTCTGATGTGTGCAGATTCCAGGGTTATCCTTTCTTTGATCGTGCTTTACCTATGGGGAACAAAAAAAAAAAAATCTCTGCAAACAATCTGCTTTTAGTCATGTAAAATTAAAGCCTTTTTTTCTGCTTGAAAAATATATCAATGCTTCCATATAAAGTGCTGGGCTTTTTTTTTTTTTTTTACACATATCCCGTCTTGTTGCAATTTCCTCCTTTGGCCCCCTTTGAAGCTAGATGCAGTGTTTAAAAAAAAATGTGAATGAATCCCTTGGATGCTGAGGTTTGTGTGAAGAAGGGTGATGTGCAAAAAATTATAAAGCTTCTTTGAATTGCCTTCCAGTCCCCACCCTGTGCCTGGCATGAGCTCCCTCACATGGCTCTCGAAGCTGAACTTTACTCGTTCCGTTTGCAGCCAGCAAATGAAAGTGCTGCTGCTGTTCTTCCCGTGAAATGGGGTGTTGGACGCGGGAAACCCCTCAGCAAGTCAGAGCAGTGCTGTTGTACAAATCTGTCTTGTTGGGTCCAGTCTGGAGAGAAAAGTATGGCATACCCAACAACTGCCCTTTTAGTTCTTGATTTGTTTCAAGCTGCAGTGTGCTGTATTGCACAAGTCTGTGTGAATGTGTAAATTGAAAACTGTGCTTTGTAAACCTTGGGCTTCTGCATTCAGTAAGTATTTTAAGCAAGCCACAGGGATGCATGGTATCAGTTGTCTCATCAACAGATACAATTATTTCTCTGTTTTGTCTAATGTGCTGTTAAAGAATAAGGATCATACTACAGCCTCTGTTTCTCTTCCTCGGTCCATGAAATTCACCAGTAAAACCATTCTCACCATACTGATGAAGAAATAGTAAAAGTAGTTTTACTCAAGCTTTTTTTCCCTGGTTCATCTGTGCTACAATACTGAGTCCTTCTAGCACAAAGGCATTTCAGTAATCCCTCTGGTTTATTCTGCCACTGGAGTTGTGTAGTCTGAAATTATTACACAACCTGATAACAAGCAGATTATGGAAGATGGGCTCTTAAGAGAAGATTCTGTTGATAAGTAATATATTTTCTTAATAAGATTTGGTTGCCAAGATGATGGTGTAGTAATATGCCCAAAAGACATTCAGTCTGTTGTGGAGTTAGGCAAAGCATGTACAATTTCCAAAGCAGCTGTGCATTATGAATGTTTTCTAAAAACTGAGACAGTGTGCTTTGCTTAAATTGCTGCTGTTCACTGAGGATGGGAAAAGATGTTTGAATGCAAGTTAAGTTTAAATAGAAGCTTACAGTTAGTTAAAAATGTGAATTGTCATGATGGCTTTGACTTTGTTAAGGAAATGCATGTTTGTTAAAGGTGTAGCTTGTAAAAACGGAAGGAAATACTTGCAATAGAAGCACTGCAGAAAAAATAGGACCTGCCTACTACTTTCAAGGAAGTAATTTCTGTGAACTGTGGCATGTATTGCAACACAAATGGTGGTGTGGTAGATATGTCACACCAGTTCTTGCAGTCTTCTTTTACCTTCTGTTAAAGTAAGTACTGTCTTTGCCTGGACAAGACCTAACTCAGTCTGATCCTGAAGTTGCTCAAACACATCACTTTGAGTATTTCATCAGCTGGAGTGGAAAAATTCAGTGAACTGGAAAAAAAATTTTGTGCTCAAAATTACTTACGTGGGCAAAAAATTTGATTAGGTTAGTTATAAAGATTGAACATACTTGCTTTGGGGTGTGGAAGAGCTTTTTCTTTTAGATAAGTAGTGCACACATTCCCATTGAAATGGGTAGAGTCTCTGCTATAGCTGATAATAAATTTTTCTAGTTTTGAAACAGTGTCTTGGCTTCCTAGGGCAGGATGGATACATTCTTAAAAGTGGAAGTTGCAAGAGTTTCTTAAGAGGCAGTTTGTTTCATAAGATGTGATGTGATCACTTGTTGCAGATGATTTTTTCTTCACTTTTTTTGGTTTTGACTCAGTGCTCCATTTTAGCTTTCCACTGCTATCCTTTGAAATGTGTAGATGGAACAAATATCAATTGATGCAGTAATAAAAACCCCCTACAAAACTAACTTGCAGCAATCATTTTACCTTTGTTTTGTGTGGATCCAGGATTTTGGTGTTCTAGTGTAGTTTGGGTTGATCTCCTACTGAAGGACTGTATTTCAAAGTTAGGGGGTTTTTTGTTAATTCTGATAGTAGAAATTCATTTAATTAACCTGTAGCTTTAACAAGATGTTTTTCCAATTTTCAGGTAATTCATTAAATGTTTCTACTTTTTTTTTTTTATTTCCACATGCTACCATTTTAGGTGGTTTAAAACTTTTTTAATCAAGACCAGGAGTTCATAGAAGTATGGTTAAGTATAAAGTTAATAAAATTAAAGGAATGAAAGCTTTAAACAAGCATGTAAGGCTTATTGATTAACTCAAATACATAAATATTTACTAATATGTTTGAACCATGGTTTAAAGCTAATTCTCTTGGTTCCCTGTGTGTGAGTACTTACTAAGGGATGGACACTAACCATAAGTTGTATTCTGCTAGTGTTTTGCATGTTTTTATTCTCTTATTACAGTTATGTTTGGGATGTTGGGTGGGAAGGTTTATTACTATCAAAAGAAAATATTCTGATTGAAGTTCTAGTGAAGGTGTTGTCTAATCCTAACATGCATGGTAAATGTACATGTAGGAAACAAAAGTGACACTTTCATAGTCAGTTTGTCCTGTTTTACAAGTAGGATCAAATATTTGAAGAATAGCCTGCTAAAGATGAAAAGTAAATGTTGGCAGAAGAGGAAGTGAGAAGAAACTGCTTTTTCAACCTCCTCACTACTTATCATCCACTTTCCTGTACTTCAGTAGCAATGGCTGATGTCAAGAATTGTGTTTACATCAGTAAAATCTGAAAAATGCTATTTTCCATACTCAATAAAGATTTTTAAAGAGTCTCCTTACCCTTTTAAGCTTTATGGCAAGTGAAAAGCCAAGGCTGGTACTCCCATGTGGTCAAGTGGTGCCACCCATTCCAGGTGCATAAGAATTACAGTGATTATTATGTAAATTACAGTAATCTAGATAAATAAAAGTAATTCTGTGCCCTTCTATTGCACTTTGAATGAAATATTTACCTTGTCGTGGAATAACTCCAATTTGCTACTTGCATAACCTCTTCACCTAACTTTATATTCACTTGGTACTTTATGGCACAGTTGCCTGTGAAATGGGCCTGTGTATTCCTGAGGCAAGTTACAGTTGAGTATGAATTCATGCTCCTGTTATCCCAGACAATTCAATGGGAGAGACTATACCAGATACTTGAAAATGTTTGATAAACCAACTCACACAATATTTCAAACTTACAAAGATGTAAATGTAGAAAATGATAGTTCCCCTCTTAGCCAAAGATTAAGCAATTTAGTATTTTACAACATGTATCTGGGTGTTTACTGGAGACAGTAAATTTCCATATCCAGTTTCAGTAGAAGATGAAAACAAGAATTGCATTGTTTAATGTCCTCTTTAGAAATCAGAATTCTTACTCTGTCAGCTCTAATGTGGTACAATGAAATGGTTCCTAAGTTATACTATTATAAATGTTCCAGAACTCTCTGCAGAAGTTAATCTTGCATTACCAATCCCTGCATGTGCATCAGAGCCTGAACAAGTCCTGATGCCATGCTTTTAATTTCTCCACTCAGCGAGTGGCTCCAGTTCTGTGGAAAGCTGTCCTTGTTTCCTCTGCATTGGTGTGAATTTCTGCCACCAGATAAACCAGTGGACTCTGATTTCAGGCCCAGGCTGACACAGCCTGTGTCTGACTGTCCTGTGCTTTAGCCACCCCTTCAGGTGGTGGTCCTTGGCATGGAGAAGAAGGGAGACCTCTAAAAAACAAGTCCTTGAGCTGTCAGCAGGGTCTTGATTGAACATCCAATTCAACCAGATCAGAGGCTCCCTTTGTCTCAAAGTATTTGGTTGGCACTGGGGGAACAGCACAGGAGTGGGAGATCAGACATTTCGGATTTATGTATTTTAATGCTGAGGAGTTGGGGTCTGATGAAGTGGTATTTTAAAGATGCAGTCCTGAGCAAACAATAACACAAGTGGTAATTTTGGCTCTTCTTGACTTATAGCCACCCTACATCATGTTGCAGTGCAGCAGAGATTATGTCTGTGCTGTTTTTCCATACCATGAGGTACAAAGTGCAAGACCCCAGAAACGCCAGCAACGACCGGTTTGTTCTTTCAAAGGTAAATAAACAATTAGTGATTTGCTGTCCTGTTACAGTCTGCTAGCAAAGAGCTGTCTGTCTGTAGATTTAATTGACTTATCTTATTTGACTTGTGTTTACATACACTTACATCTGCAGAGAAGTCTGTTGGAAATATTTGAGAGCCTGGAATTTGTGTGCTTCAGAAAGAAAGAAGCTGGCTAAATTAAGTTGCAGCATAACTTAAAAACAGTTTTAAAGGGGTCTTTGTAATGTGTCCTGATAAGTCTTAACTCCACTATATTAAGTTGTTGTAATGTTAAATAATAAATATTATATTGTCTATACAATCTATCAGGATGCAATAAGTTCTGTTTTATTTTTCTAACGAGGCAGTTGCAGTTGGCTTTTGTGCTCTCTTGTTAAATGCAGCCCTGCTGTTCTGCCTGCAGCCATGTCACAGTGGGCACTAATTCCTGCCAGCTTCTCAGGGAGATTACATGAAACAGGGCAGGTTAGTGAGCAGTTTGTAGTTTGCATTCCTACTGTGCCAGTATGGTACTAAAGTCACTGTTACTGAAGACACTGTGGGTCAGAAAACACTTAAACCCCAGTCTGTGCTGGCTGTTAGTGTTTCTGTCCCCTTTTACATTGTGTCCTTGTAAATCATGGGGATATATTGTTCATATGACATAAAGGCAGGTGAGGGGCCTTCAGAAAATGTAAAACATGGCCAATGAGGTAAAACATGGCAGATGAAGTGCTCCAGTGATGCACATTCCATCTTTGAGTCAGAATTCCTCAAGTGGTGGCTCGCAGTAGTGCTGTGGAGCCCATGGTGAATGTCCTTGTGCTGGATGTAACTGTTGTCATTTCTGGTGGCCACTCTGAAAGGAGGAACTGAGTGAGAAGCAAGCAGTTGATGCTGAGGTGGTGAAGCACTGAGAGTCACTTCCTCATGTTTACTTTAGCTCTCTAATTAATCAGTGTGTCTGTCCAGAGTAGCTAAATGGCTTCAAACCTCTGCATGCTCTTTTGACTCCTGATGACTCCAGGAGTGGAAGATGACTGCTCCACAAAGGTCTGAGCGTACAAAGCTTAAAACTTTGCCTGTTGTCACTCACTGCATTCAACCCTGGGTACACTGATGTTGAAGGAAGCTCTAGTGAGATGACACTGCTCATCCTGCTGGGGTGCTGTAAGCAGGGGCGTGGGGAACTTGGAAACAAGCATCAGTGTGGATGTGTGCATTGTAAAACTGTTTAATAACTCCATGTCTTCCTGATGGGCACAAGAACCTGATTTCAGTGTTTGTCAGCTTTGTAGAGTTTGTCCTGATAGTTGGGAACGTGAAACTTGTGTTTTGTTTACAATTTCTGTTTCTCTCCAGGGTCATGCAGCACCAATTTTATATTCTGTTTGGGCAGAGGCTGGCTTTCTACAAGAAGCAGAATTACTGAACTTGAGGAAAATTGATTCTGTCCTAGAAGGACACCCAGTGCCAGTGAGTGCTCATAATCTTTGATACGAAAATATGTTTCTGTGAAAAAAGCGTATGTATTTCACAGCAATTTTGGTTGCTAGCTGTTCAGCACAGGAAAGATAAAGACTTCTAAGGATGATGGCATTTATGGCTTCACAACTGAATTTGAACTGTATTTGAATGTATGAGAATGTAGAAATGACCTTTTTTGTTGTAGTAAAGTTCCCCTACAGCCCTGCATGGCAGTATTTTCCATTTCATAAATGCTTAGGTAAAGTTCTATCCAAGCTTCACTTGTCCTTTAAGCAGCTTTGAGGTATTTCAAGAGTTGACACCCAGTTTGGCCACTTCATTGGTCTTTCCATTCCCAGCCAGTTATTTCAATTGATTCTTTTCTACACAAAATCATCAATTCTTAACTGTTGCCATCCGAAGCATAGCTGAGAAATTCCCTTCCCTCTCAGAGTGCCCAGTTAGCTTGTGACCGTCATCATGAAGGAAATCTGCATTGCAGGGGAATCAGGGGTTCAAGATTTAGAGGGACTTCCACATTGTTACGGCTGAGAAGCTGCATTTTGGTGTATGTTGAACCATCTTCTAGCACTGGAAATTACTTCCTCTATTTCATAACTGTAAAAGAATTGTTGCCTTTTTATTCTCAGAGACAAGCCTTCACTGATGTGGCTACTGGATCCCTTGGGCAGGGTCTTGGTGCTGCTTGTGGAATGGCATACACTGGCAAATTCTTTGACAGAGCCAGGTAATTCCATTTTCATACTTCATGATTACAGGCATTCAATGGGAAAATTTTGTTAAATTAGATGGATGGATAGATAGATAGAGAGACAGATTCATTCTCTTTATTCAATCCCAAATCTGATTTCAAATTTAGGTTTTAAATGATAGATAATTACAAAGCTGTTGCCAGTGAAACTACCAAGGGTTTAAAGATTAGCAACAATTAGTGCATATGTGTGTTTCTTTTGTAACCTGACAGCATTGCAAGCTGATGTTCCTGAACAGAGAAGACAGGGAGTTGTTGGAGGAGCCTCTAACTTCCAGAGAGTAACTGATATCCATTTTGAGACTGGATGTGTCCCTTTAGAAGGAAAGTGCAAGCTGGAGAGGTCTGTTCAAAGTCAGATGACAAATAATGGAGAACGTTGGATAAGGAACCATTATGGTCAATAATAGCATAATTGAATCATAAAGTAGGGCTCCAAAATGTTATCAGAAAGGCACTCAACTCCACAGAGACAAAAATGACTGCTCCTGCCATTGGTTCTGTGCACAAGAAAAGATGTCTAAAGGCAAATCTGTATGAGGAGGAAAATAGCCTGATGTGGTTGATATATTTTATTTGACAGTTCTAGTACATCTGAGCATAGGCTGCCCAGTTAATGTGTCCTACACTTCACTAGCTTGAAATCATTTCTGTGAAAGATGACTTGCTGATTTTAATTGAGTTTAGCAGATGCTACGTGTGGAAAAAATCTAACTAGTGCTTACATGACAAAAGGAAAAGGTGGTCTTGCGTGCAGCACTGGGGAGCAGCTTAAGTGCAAGGAGTTCACATTTAGCTGAAGGCAGGTAGGAATCAGATTCAAAAGTCTCTTATAGCTTCATGTTGACTAAAAAAAAATCACTGACAGCCATCTCAATTATTTTGTTTTAAAATTATATATTTGAAGAACAATTTACTTTTTTTTTTTAAATTTTAGTGGGTAATAAACATTTACAAAGTTTTGTTGTCCAGAAGAAGAGTGGTAGTAAAAGACAAATGCTGTGGCTGAATTTGGTAGAGATGAGGCAGTACTCCTGCTAACTGAGTTTTACCTAAATAAAGGGCTTCAGTGGCTGGAGAAACAGTCTACAAAGTCATATAATGTTGGTTATCTTTTTACTGAACTCTGCATTTGTTATGCAGTATGCTTTAATCCATAGCTGAGTTCATCCAAATTTAGAGTTTCCTGAAATTAATTCCTGTTGTTGTCCTTCCAGAGGGTCTATGGGAGGAAGGAGGAAGCAGAGGTAACTGTCCCTGCATTGTTCAGGATCTTGCTGAGTCACAGTGACAGTGTTCAATGGGCTTGTTCAGTCAAGCCTTGCAGTGGGAGGCTTAAGACTTGATTTTTTTTGAGACAAAGGTTTGGAAAGGAGTGCAGTATTTCTCATCTTATTTTTCTAACGTGCAACGGCTCATAACTATTTTAATTTGATATGTCTAAGGTTACGTAACTTTAGCTGAGGTGAATGCATTGAACAATGGGAATTGAGTTTGGGACAGAAAAATGAATTGAATTCTTACTATGAATTATTGGAGGAGTTTTGATTTAACAGTACTTACACATCAAACCTAATTTATTTTCATTTTTAATTTGAATTGAATTCTTACTATGAATTATTGGAGGAGTTTTGATTTAATAGCGCTTACACATCAAATCTAATTTATTTTCATTTTTAATTTCTTCTAGCTATCGAGTGTACTGTCTGCTTGGAGATGGAGAGTTATCTGAAGGCTCTGTTTGGGAGGCAATGGCCTTTGCTGGCTTTTACAAGCTTGATAATCTTGTTGCTATATTTGATATTAATCGTCTTGGACAAAGTGACCCTGCTCCTCTGCAGCATCACGTTGAAATCTACCAGAAACGCTGCGAGGCCTTTGGGTATGTGAGTGGGAGAAGCTCAGGATAATCTCATTTGAAAATGTATGTTCTATTTGTTTCTCAGAATTGTTCAAGTGAGATTTCAGCTCTAAAGGATTCCATCAGCAAGGAAGATGGTCTTTCATAATGCCTGATATTGGTCAACTTTATGGCTGCAGTAGGAATATTGAAAGTGGCAAAATTTGTTGGTTTTGAGATAAAATAAGGGCTGCTTGCACAGATAAATCTGTTAGGGGTCTTAAAACTGTTTTGAACACATCAAATTCAGATTTTATAACTGTGACCACATCTCCTATTATAGCAAGTAGATCAGAAAAAAACAGCATGGAAAGTAAGAGAATTCTTTGTGTATTGCCTTTCATTTAGTTTCACATTTCTATGCAGATGCAAAGTCCATGCTAAAAAAATGTCAGATACAATAGAAACCAAATTATGACTGAGTGTTTTGGGTTTTTTTAATCAACGTCTATTGTCAGTTTTCATCTTATTTCTAGATGTTTGATTTGCTCTTGTGGTTAAAAATGGCCATTATGTTTGAAGAAATGTAGGATAATTTAGTTATCTGTGAGCTGTGAATTTTGCTCATAGTTGTTGATCCCCCTGTGGCTCATTTTGAATTATAAAAAAGCAGCTGTGCTATTTTTTATAGTCTCAAATAAATGCTAGTTTGTGTTTCTGGCATACTTTGGGTCTCTTAAAAAGACACTGCACTGGAATGAAGTTAGTATTTGTTATTGTTATTGCTGACTACCAGAGTGTGTCACATGCTAAAACCCTTTAGAAACAGTTGATCTGTTTGTGTTCTTAGCTGGCATGCCATCATCGTGGATGGACACAGTGTGGAGGAGCTTTGCAAAGCCTTTGGCCAGGCCAAACATCAGCCAACAGCCATCATTGCAAAGACTTTTAAAGGCAAAGGCATATCAGGTAATAAAACAATTCTTGCTTTGATACACACATAGATAGGATGTACACCTAGTGCTGCAGTGCAGGTACTTCCACATCTGAGCAACAGCATGCAGAAGGTCTTTGACCCTCTGTACCTCAGCATCCTTATTGCTGAGAATTTGGTTTGGCCCTATCAAGTGAGACGTGTGCCAGCTATGCAGTGTTCTGTCCATGGGATGGAGCAAATGCACACTCAGTGTGTCAAGGGTTGCCATGATTCCCTTTAGCCACAGCTTTAGCAGCACTCTGAGCTTGCCTTTCTGACCAGACAAATATTAATAACAGCAGTGAATATCTTCATTCCTTTTCATTGAGTAAGCAAGCAAAGGTCATTATTTGCAGGGACTGAAGGAAAAGCAGTAAATCAGCCAGAGAGGTGATTTGGCTGTTAGCGCCGGGTGCACAGATAAGAGTCATCAGAAGCTATTAAAATAAAGCTGTAAAATATCAGATCTTGTTTGAATTGGACACCTTGGTTAACTGTTGTTTCAAACTTATCTGGGTTTGTTTAAATAGAACGGTTGAAATTTCATGGGAAATGTTCACACTGGTTTACTGGTTGCTTCCTGCCACACTTAGGTCTGTTGGGGCAAATTTACAAATAATTTCAGTAGAAGGTGCTGGGATTTTGTCACAAGTTTGGAATATATGTAATTTGATTATGTAAAATTCATGCTATTTCTTTAAATATGTCTGTTTTAATGCAGTTGAATACTACTGTAATTGTTCAAGGAATTTCTTCCTTGGAAGAAAATACTGGACTGTCATACTCCAGTGCACTTTCATCTGGGTAAAATCTGAAGATAAAAACCTAAATTGTTTTTATACTTTTCTTACTTGTAATGTGACTTTAAATACACAGGTGTTGAAGATAAGGAAAGCTGGCATGGAAAGCCCCTTCCAAAAAATATGGCTGAACAGGTCATTCAGGAAATAGATGACAGAATCCAGAACAAGAAAAAGCTTTCTCCAGCCCTTCCAGAAGAAGATGCACCTATAGTAAATATTAGAAACATTAAGATGCCATCTCCACCAACTTACAAAGTGGGAGAAAAGGTATCCCCTTCTTTTTCACTGATGGTCAGATATTTCAGTGTGAGACTGTTTAACAGGATGGCAGGAGATTACAAAGTGGGAGAAAAGGTATCCCCTTCTTTTTCACTGATGGTCAGATATTTCAAAGTGTGAGATTGTTTAACAGGATGGCAGGAGTTTTTGTGTTATCCCTTGCCCCAGGTGCAGCTACCCACCTCTTCTCAGTAGGCAGACACCTATTTCTGTGGTGTGACAAGTCAACTTGCTGGGTATTAAAAGGGTATATAAATATATTAAAATATGGAGATTCAAATCACCCTTCTTCATTTCATGATCATTATCAATTTTCTAAACTACTTTATGTGCCTTTGAGATTGAAGAAACTCCTTGAGGTTCAGTGAATTTCCAGTTTGGAAATCAAGGTTTTAAACATTTCCTAGCCAGATTGGGGGGGAATTGCCAATTTCAACACCGATGTATTTTCTAATGCTTTGTTATGGGTTTGTTTACTCTTCTGTGTGTCACCATTCTCATATGTACTTTTGATACTGCTATCATTTGAAAACAATAAAACAGGAACATAAAAAAAGCCTCTAGAAAGCAGCAAGTTACAGCAGCCCTGGTGTGTTTTCCTTTTGCAGTGGGCCACCCGCAAGGCTTACGGGGTTGCGCTTGCAAAACTGGGCCACGCCAACGATCGAGTGATTGCTCTGGATGGCGACACAAAGAACTCCACCTTCTCAGAGCTCTTCAAGAAGGAACATCCCAGTCGCTACATTGAGTGCTACATTGCTGAGCAGAACATGGTAACTGCTCCCTTGGGTTTATTGAAAGATTAATATGACCATTCAGTGTCAGTCCCCTTACAGTGGGCGTCTAATACTTGTTTTTCAAATAAATGTGTGGTAATTGTAGCAAAAACCAATTTGGGAACCTTGTTCTAATTTCCATTTTGCTAAAGAAGGGCCCTTTTTACAAATAACCAGTCCAAATAACACAGGTAAATCCATTCCCTCTTACTAATGATGATTTTTGTCTTCTGGAGATAGCAAGACCATGTCCATTGGACTGAGAACATAAGCCTTTCATCCAGGAGAAGAAAGAGAGGGATAAGTCTTAAAAATCTTTGAATGGCTGCTTTAAGCAGATAAAGAAAAGAAGCTGCCAGTAAGAGTCAACAATGACAGCTAGCAGTTGAAGCATGGAGCAGAGGAGTTGCAGGAGAATAGATACTGGGAGGGTGAGTTGCCTCCTTTCCTTTCTGGAAATGCCAGCAATTAGAAGCAGGACTAAACAGAGATTTTTAAATCTGCGCTGAGAGCTTCTTGCTAAATTTTTAGGGCAAGAAGTCCCACAGATGATGTCCTGGAAACCACTGATAAATGAGGAATTCACTGTTCTTATCCAATGTCCCTCTTTCAGGTGAGCATTGCAGTTGGTTGTGCCACTCGTGACAGGACCGTTGCTTTTGCCAGCACCTTTGCCACCTTCTTCTCGCGGGCGTTCGACCAGATCCGCATGGCTGCCATCTCCGACAGCAACGTCAACCTCTGCGGCTCCCACTGCGGCGTTTCCATCGGTAAGGGCGCCCACGGCATCCCAGCAGCACTCCCCATCCACTCAGAGATAGGTGTCTGGCAGCCAGATGGATCCTGCTCTGTGGAGGCAAGCTGTACTGTAGCTGGGGTGGTGTAACAGTGGCAGCAGTGATAGGACGAAGTCATATTTGCAACTCCACTTCTGTTGTGTTTAGAAAGAATGAGAAAAATTTCAAGCTGTCATTGGCTTGTTTTTCTTCTTTGGTCTGATGAAAATAGGACTTTTCCCTACAAGCTTTCCTACTGTACAAGCAAAGACTGATATAAAGGGATTGGACTGAAACTGAGAGGTTCAGGTTCCATTTCATCTTTGCAGTTGATGAAAAAAAGAGAATATTCTCTCTCTGGAGAGAATAATCATGTGCTTACTGTGCCGTTGTTTCCCATTCTCTTAAATGAGAAAATAATGATACTGTTCTTGCACAGATGCTCTTGTCCATCAATCTCAAAAACAGTTTAGAGAACACACACTTGAAATAAGTACTTCAACTTATCCCAGTATTTTTCACTACTGAAATTGTTAATATGGTCATTAAAAAAAATCCAAAATCTCTTACTAATGAAACAGGAACTGTGAAGCTGTAACATAATTCAGAAAATTGAATAATAGAAAGTTTTGGTTGGAAAGATCTTAAAGGTCATCTCCTTCCAACATCTCCCACTAGACCAGGTTGCTCAAAGTCAGGCAGGACTTACCCTTGGCTGTCTTGAATCACCTCCTTCTCCCCATGTGCCTTAGAACAGCTTCTAGGAGGATCTGTTCCGGGATCTTTCCAGGCACAGAGTGATAGTTGGTAGTTCCCAGCATTCTCTCTTTTCCCCTTTTTAAAACTGGCTGTAGTGTTTCCCTTTTTCCAGTCACTGGGGACTCCACCTGGTGCTGCTGTGACTTTTCATGGGGAGTGTCTTGGCAGCTACCTCAGCCAATTCCCCAGGACTCTGAGATGCATCTGGTCAGCTCCTATGCACTCTTGTGTGTTGAAGTCCCTCAGGAGGTCACGAGCCTGATCTGTTGTGCTTTAATCCCAGCTGGACACAAGTACCACTCAGCCACTCACACACTCCCTGTCCCTGCAATGGGACTGGGAGGAGAATCAGAAAAAAACTTGTAAGTTAACTGCTTCTACTACTACTAATAATTGTAATTATAAAAATAAACTCCGAAAAGCACAATACAATTTCTCAACACCCACTGACCAATGCCCAGCCTGTCCCTAAGCTGTGGTCAGCCCCTTCCAGCCAACCTCCCCCCAGGTTTGTATGCTGAGCATGGCATTCTGTGGTATGGAATGTCCTTGTGTCCAGCTTGGCCAGCTGTCTGGGCCATGGTCCCTCCCAGCTTTTTGTCCATCTCCTCACTGGCAGAGGATGAGGACACTGAAAAGTCCTTGATTTAGGATAACTCCACACAGCAACAACCAAAACATTGGTTGTTATCAACAGCATTCTCATCCTAAATCCAAAACTCTCCACTGTATCAGCTAAGAAAAAAATGAACTATGCCAGCCAAACCCAGGATGTCTTACAGCAGAAGGAACTTTGCTTGTCCAGGCCCTGTCCTGCAGTCCATCCACCTGAGAGGTGTGGGAAAAGGGTTTGCCAGTGGAGACCAAGGCAGCAGAGCCAGCACATCTCAGTCCAACTGGCTGAGGGCCCTCACCAGCAGAGCCTTCTGTGGTCTTGCCTTCCCACTGTAACTGTTTGGAACACGGCAGATCGTAGTGGGTTGGCTTTGGTTTGAAGGAGGAAGAGAATTTTATTTTTTACATGACCTATGAAAACAGGAACAGACTTGCATACCAAGAAGAAAAATGCAAGTAGACATTCATGCTTGAAAAACTAGTAGGTATTTCTAGGGAAAGTGAAAGAGAGAGAGAGCTGACAGGGGTAGTAAATTAAGGTTCACTGCATACATCAGTTTTTCAGTTGATTTAATAGTTTTGGATTTTTTTTTTCCATTTAAAACAAAGTATTTAATTTGATCTGTAATATTGGTAAATATTTAAAGATGCTTCCTAAACACATGTAATCTCATCCCAAACCTCAAACTTACCTTGTAGCAGTATAGTTCTCTGGAGCAAAGACTGTATGTAGTATCAAATAATGGCCTTTGTGTGTAATTAAGGGATAAATTCTATTACAAGCCTCTTATTAAAATCAGTCCTTCCACCTTCAGACTTTTAGCAAGCACGGTGTTGATGTAAAAGCTGATTTAGGAAGATAAAACTCTTTTGGCTTACCCGAATTGTCTCCTAGAACTACACTTCCAAGTTTCAATTTTCAGCACATGAAATGTTCTGCTGGGAGGTGTGACTGTGAAGTGCAGACTTGGATTTATAAAGTTGTTTGAGGTACAAATCTCATTCAAGCCTCAACTTGATTTTCCAAAAAGAATTTCAACCCAAAGTTTTGCAACTTACATGAAGAGTTATAAAGAAAGTTATTCAGAGAAATCCTTTAGCAGTTAAAAAATTCAATTTTAAATGAAAGGGTATGAATGAAGCATACTTCCTGTTAGAACTTTGGGCCTGCATGGGATTCCAAATCTGCATGGAATTCAATCCAATCTGGATCTGTGGTGAAAATTGAAGTTTTATGTATGCAGTTCTAGGCAGACCTGGACTTCTGCTGCACTGAAATTTGAACCATTAAATTTAGAAAAATAGCTATCACAATGACCTTCTGGACTTATACAAGTTCACTCCTAGATCAATAGTTGCTGATGGACCGAAACATTAAATAAGTTTTAAGGTCATAAGAGAATAATGGAAAAATCTGTATTTTTCAAACTGAACATATAGGAAAAGAAATCATAGTGTACATGTGTCAGGAATAAAAATATCAATTGTTTAGACTTTTATATCCTGGGCATATAAATTATTTACTTCTTTTATTAAGCTATAAATATAGGTTTTGCAGATGTAATTGAGAATTATACTCTCATTTGATCTGTGATATTCCAAAACCATATAAACTGAGATTTTCATAAAGACTTGGGGCCAGACTCAACTTGGTGCTAGTCTGTAAGTTTGAATTGAATTGAGGAGCTTTGAATGTTGGTGGTATTGGCACCACCATAGCAAAAGCAGGACTTACATGAGTAACTGTGAGTAACTCTCTACCTTGGATGAGATCCAGATTCAGGATATTAAAATTATCACCTGATAATTTTATTCTTCATCATTTCATTTTCTTTCTATGCCTTCATTGTGTGAGTGCATTTTAGGAAAGGAAAATGCCCACTGAATCCCTCTCATTCAGAGTACACACATTTAGAAGCTGTGATGTTGAGAGGGTTTCTTCATGTGATGATTGAAAGCTGAGACACTTCCTTTTCCTGATCTGTGCTTACTTTATTAGTAATGTGCAGTGGCAGAGTTCAATGATTGATCTCTTTAACATGTTTAAAGTTCTTCAGAATTTTGTGCCGCTCTTAGGAAAATATTCTCCTCCTTCCTCGCGAACTCGTCCTTCTTGAATAACAGGTAGTGGTTGCATGTGGGAAGGCTCTTAGCCCTGCTGCTGCAGGCTGTGACATGAGTGGATCCAGAGCTGTGTGCATGGCTGCTTTGGAGCAGCGCCATTCCCAAAGCTCCCTTACATAAGGTCACTGGGGGCGGGGGGTGTTGTGGTGGTTGTTTCTTTAACCATGGAAAATCCTGGCACCCAGCACGTGTCCTGGCTAACGATTCCTTTTCATAGATCTGTGGTTTGTGCCATGAGGCGCTTGAGTTGTTCAATTAACAACACAGATGCCCTATTGCTCCTTAAAAGACTGTTTTCCAGCATTAAAAAATACATACATACCCTTCATTTAATCTTGAAATCAGCCTAAGAATTTGAGAGTAGTTGTACCAATTGCACTCTCCATTTCTGATGGGACACATGCAATTCTCCTTTCACATTTCCAGCAGTTTAAATCTGGAGGAACATTTATTGACCAGTATAAATTTTGTCTCAGCACATGTAAATCCAAAAATGTTCAGATATCTTGTGACCCTCTTTCTGCATCTGTGCCCTTCCTATTTGGTTGTATTCCTTTTGTGTTGTTTTATTGTTATACTTTATTTCCTATTTTTTCTTTTTAATCCCAGTTCTCTTTCTTTTTAGTCTCTTTCTATTCTTATTTACTGTTTAGATGGTTCCAAGTTTAAGGAGAAGATGATTCTTTTCTCAAGCAGGTAGACTTGCATGTCGTGTGTATGCCTGATTTTATCCTTTTCTCCTTTTTTGCCTGGTTTATGTTCAACCTCACTTCTGTATTGAGTGATTGTCAAAAATGTGCCCTTGCTCTTTTGTAACCCTGCTTTGATTCTTTCAGGTGAGGATGGGCCATCTCAGATGGGGCTGGAGGATCTGTGCATGTTCCGGGCTATTCCCAACTCCACTGTGTTTTACCCCAGTGATGCTGTAGCCACTGAAAAAGCAGTGGAAATAGCTGCCAACACCAAGGTTTGCATCATAATATTTCTGAGCCAGAGAATAATTCTGTCTTTTGTACTACTCTTGTTGCTTCTGGCATGTTTCTTGCATGTCTCTACCCACGTAAATTCTTCCCGAGGCTCCAGTGTGGCAGTGGGATGTTTTCTTTTCAAGGAAAGGTTGCAGACATTCTGTCCAGGCTAGTGCAGAATGAACAAATCTTGAATGCTGTGGGCCAGATTTGGGGAGATGGAAATGCTTACTCAAGTGCAGTTTGAATCTGTATTGATTTAGAGTAACTGTAGGTCTTTAGCAAACCTAAAAGCTCTCTCCTAGCACCTTATCTCTGGGGTCAAACTTGAAGCTGGATACAGAAAGATAAATCTCTGTATTGAGGATTTTGATCATCTCCTTGATCAGTATTTTCCTCGGATGCCATACCAGTTTTTCTTGAGAAAGGAGCAAATGATCTGAAAAAATTCAATCTTGCTACTTCAGGTTTTCAGTGAAGGAATGTGGAAATTTGGTGTGCAACTAATATGATGAGTGGTTTGTGGAAATAAAGGATTAGAGATGGGGAAAGGAGTGGGAAGAAGAGATTAAAGTACAAGTTTGCTACTTCTTCTGGAAAGGCATCTGAACTTTAACTGATGGAAAGCCTTATTCTTTGCTTTCAACCCAGCATTCTTCTCTAACTTAAAGTTGACAGAGTAAAAGTTGCACATGTATGGTAAGGTTCTAAGAGTCTTAATTAACTCAAGTAGGATTCTCCATTTCCACAAGAGAACAAAAGAGAGATAAGTATCTTGGAATCAGAGAGGAAATTGTAAGTTATCAGTGTGCTTTAAGAGGAGGTGAAGTGTTTTGTACTGTTTGAAACAACCAGCTGTCACGAATTGGTGACTAATGGGAATTGGTGGGGCAGAGTTTACCTATAGGAACCAGAGGCAACATAGGAGGGTGAATATCAGACAAATAGAAGAAGTCATCTTGCTGTATTTTTTTTCATAGGATTTATCAACTAGAATGTCAACACTTTTCTGTTTTCCTAACTTCTAACATGTTTGCCTCGGAAACAGGGCATTTGTTTCATCAGAACTAGTCGTCCTGAAAACCCTGTCATTTACAACAACAATGAGGACTTCCATGTTGGACAGGCAAAGGTAAATTCTGATTCTGTTTATCTGTGCAGTAAAATATGCAGTGTTCCTTTTGTAAAAGCCCTTTTCCCTCTAAAGTGTTGCAAAGATTTGATCTTTTCATTAAAATCTCTAGAAATGTTAAAAAAAAACAGTAAGATTACGTGTTAAAAACACATGGACATGTTTTCTTGCAGGTGGTTTTGAAGAGTAAGGATGATCAAGTGACTGTGATTGGAGCAGGAGTCACTCTGCATGAAGCACTGGCTGCAGCAGAGCAGCTGAGAAAAGGTGGGGCTTTTTTCCTTTTTGTCATGTAACACAGAAAAAAAAATCAATACCAGTCAGCCTAACTGCTCACCCTTTGTACTGGTAAACATTAATGACACTGTTCAGACAGCTAGTCAGGCACCTGTTAGCTGAAACAGTGCAACACAGCATGCAGCTGCCAGTCTTGCCTAATGGAGGGGGTTTTAGTTGGCTTAGCAGCATTAGTAGCCATGAAAATTGACAACAGGTCACATCAGGGTCTCCTTAGAATTGCTGATCTGTGGTAGTGCCCTGTGGGTAGAGGCCTGGGGACACTGTGTGAGAAGCAGGAGTGGCACCTGGTCTGGTACAGCACAATGGGCTGCAAACAGGCTGGGGCCAGGTCCCAAACCACAGCCTGTCACCTGTGTGTGCCCATGGCACCTGGCCCTGGGTTGGGCTCTGCTGACCTGGGTTCCTTTGGATGCAGCAACTCTGAGCCAGTGTGGGAGGGACACAAATCTATGGCAGTGCTCAAGTCACTGACATCTCACAGCAATGGTAACCCTTCAATGAAACAAGAGAAAGAGACCATCAAAACCCATCTGTGAGTCAGGAGCCTCTCCCCAGGAAGAGATTACAAATAGCAGGAGATAATACAGTAATGCTGCCTTGGCTTTTGGGCAGCTTTTTGTGCAGCCTCTGGGTGCACTGATACTTTGTAATGACCTCGAGTCACCAGGCTTAGGACATTTTGAAAGTGGTATTTTCAGAACCATTGTTATTTTTCTACACTTAATGTGCTTTACAATGCTCTGCTGATCTTGAAGTCTATGTAATCACCTCTGAAAAGATAATCCCGTAGTGCGGAGTCAGGGTCTAATACCGAAAATATATTGGCCACTGAAGAGCCTTCAGTCACAAAACTGACAATAGGGCCTCTTCATGTGTAGGAGTCAGCCCAGTGTTCAGCCAGCCAGGATCAGAGACACCCTCACATAATTGCTATTCTTTATAAACAATTGCCATTTGTATGCAGCTTTAATGAGCCTTATGAGGGCAGGGCGGATCTGGGTTTGGTGCCAACCATCCTTAAGGGTGCCCTGGTAGGGCTGGGCAGCTCAGATAGGCACACCGGAGAGGTGGCAGCCTGCAGTGGAGAAAGAATTCAGAATGCCTACACACCAAAGAATCAGGTGGAAATTGCACTTGGCTTGACAATAAAGGTAAAATAGAGGTCTGGGAAAAAAATTACAATTGACAGCCTGAGTAAGGAGGATTTCTCTGGTGTCTGGATTCTCTCTTACCTGGGGAAAGCCAGTTAGATTACTTTTTTAGTGATGAATGCTCCTGGTAACCTTGAGTCCCTCATCCAAGTCTCCTCCATCATGTCTGTGAATAAATGGATATCACTATTCCACGAGGTGCATGGAGAAAGAATACATGTAGAAATTAGGGCTGGCTGGGTTCTGTGGTAGATGAGCCATAGGTACAGGTACCTGAGAGTTCATGTGGGCAGTTCTCATAATGGTCTAGGAGATCACAGCCATTGCCTGTACCACTGGCACTGTCTTGCATGTTGCAATTCATTGTTACAAATCATTTTCATTTATTTATGCAGAGAAGATCTACATCCGTGTGATTGATCCCTTCACTATAAAGCCCCTGGATAAGAAGACAATACTTGAAAATGCAAGAGCAACCAAGGGCAGAATCATCACTGTTGAGGACCATTACCATGAAGGTGAGGAGGGTCTGGGAGGTCACAGCTTTCAGAGGCTGGAAGCTCCCAGCTTCTGACCTGACAGAGGAGTATGAGACCTGATGCTGTCATCCCATGAAAGCAAAAGCAAGACTTGGCTTTTTTGGTGCTGTTAGGATTACAAAGTGACACTGAGGGTTGAAAGGTTCCAAAGATTTAAGGGGTAATCAGGGCTGCCTTTCTGATTAACTTGGCCCTGTGTGCCCTTTGTGTGCTTGGTCCAAGTGAAGTCTGGATTCATTTGTGCCCAGTGAAATTGTAAATTCCTGCTGTGCTGCAGGGGCTCCGTTCAGAGTGTTCTCTGAAAGGCTGTACAGGAGCTTCTCTGGAGGTGTGAAATTGCAAGAGAGACCATTGCTGTGCAGGTTTAAGTATTCCATGTGTCCAAAAGCTTGGCTCCAGGTTGCTTGAAATCAGATGGTTTGGGCAGTTTCCACAGTTTTTCCACAGTTACTCTGGGATTTTTCCCAGAGATTTTTTTTTCTATTTTTCCCAGTTACTCTGGGATAAATTCCTTCCTTTTTCTTCTCCACCACCCTATATATCTACTAACAGAAATTAGGAGATGTAGTTATGAGAATATTGTCTTAATTTAAGGTGAGCATCACTCTTGCCAGGTACCTGAAGTGAGCTGGTTCTACCCCAAGTGCTGGATACACCATGTTTTGTCCCAGACTGTAGATGGTGATAGATCCCTGAACCTCATCATCTTCTAGCTCAGTGTTCAGCTCTGGACAAGTATTTTACTGCAGGTTTGCAAGACAGCAGAGTGTTAACTGTGAGGTGCTGAACAGGGGCTTTGTGCTGGCACGGTGCTCCGTGGTGCAGGCAGGGCAGGAGTCTGTGCTTGCAGGTCCATCATACTGAGCTCACCAGCTGCATCCACAGAGTTACATCTGGCTGCAGGCTCAGTTTGGTTAAATCCCACTATGCCTGGAGCTGTGGGCAGCCCTGTGATCCTGCATACACTCTCTGAAGGGTAGCACTAAGGTGTCTCTTCTACCAGGTCTCACAGCACATGCTTTTGACACAAGTCCTGTTTTCTTCTTCCTTAGTACTTCTGCTTCCAGTGTCTCTCCTGCCTCCATGCAGTTCTAGTTGCATCCTTTGTCGCTGTGACTGATAGTGAGTCAGAGCTGAGCTCTGAGCAAAGGTTGTGAATACATTACATAACCAGAGAGGTGCCCAGCAGCACGTACAGGCACTGTGAAAAGATGGAGCTCTGAAGTGCTGCTGAGATTGGTTGGAATTTCAGCACGTAAAGTACACTTGTAAATGCTCTTCAGTCAAAGTGTATTTTTAAACCTGGTTCCTGGTGGCTGATGCCGAGGTGGTGAGAGCTTGCTGACAGTCCTGTGCCCTTGAGAGGCAGGTGTGTCCTGCTGCTTATGGCTGAGTACTTCAGAAATGGCAGCCTGCTTGTCCTCAGAATGCCTTTTACACAGGACAGGGTTTTCAGTTTGCAGCTGGCCCGCTCAGACATGTGTGATTGGTGTTTTCCTGAGGCTGGGAATGGAGGCTGTAGGTTGCAGGCCCCACACACACAGTGTGGGTGTTCCTGCTGGGACGCTCAGTGCCTGCCTGCGCTCTCTCCACAGGTGGCATCGGCGAAGCCGTGTGTGCCGCTGTCGTGGGCGAGCCCGGTGTCACTGTCACTCGCCTGGCTGTGTCCCACGTGCCCCGCAGCGGGAAGCCAGCTGAGCTGCTGAGGATGTTTGGCATTGACAAGGATGCCATCATGCAGGCGGTGAGGGCAGCCGTGTCCAAGTCCAGGAACGCGGAGTAGATCGGAGCATCTCGTGCTGTGTAACGGAAGAGCTGCGTTCGGAGAGGTTAAGGCAAGCAAAGGTGCTTTATGTAGAGAGTTCTAATAAAAATACCAGCTTAAAAAACCTTCTGGGGTTTAATCTCTTCTTTTGTCTGTGGGGTTTGGTGTTGGGGGGGCAATACCGGCATGTTTAGAGCCCCTCCTGTCTGCATTGCCCCCAGCCATTTAAAACCAAAAGCAAGGAGGAAGTACCTAAAGTGCTGGGTGATGCCAAAGTGGAATGAGATGTTCCAGGTCCTGGGGAGCCAACAGGGAGGTGAGGCCCAGCAGAGCCCTGGGCTGAATGGTAGTGCAGACAGCACAGGTGAAGGAAAAAAAGTTGGAACTCCTCATAGGAACTTGTTTTGAGTGCTTGGCTGATGCTACAGCAAGGGTGATGCTGAGAAGGACTAAAGGATCTGGAAGAAGAGCAGGAAATTCCCAGTGCTTGGCTGATGCTACAGCAAGAGTGATGCTGAGAAGGACTAAAGGATCTGGAAGAGCAGGAAATTCCCAGGTGCTCAAGAGGATGCAGGTCAATGTGTAAGTTGCTTTTTTGTTGAGAACTGACTTTTCTCATGGCACCTACTGTTCATGTCACATGGTGGGATGCACTTGATGACTTTTTAAATGTTTTGCTGTTTTTAAATGTTTTGCTTATTTTACCCTTAAGCAGTTTCTGTTAAAATTAAAAATTTATGTTTACTGCAGAGTACCAAATTTAAAACATTAAGAATTGAAACATGTTTCTCATCTCGACTATTCCACAAATTGCCTTTAAGAAAGACATTAGACAGCAGAGGACACTAAAAAAGCCCTTTTCGTCAGAGCAGGGTGACTCTAGTTTTCAGTTCACCCAAAAGCCATTTCCCACTAGCATCGCTACAGTGGTCTTGAGCAAGACTTTATTGGCAGACTAACACAAAATATACAGTACTTTGGGATGGTGAAATATTTCTACAAAGATATGTAAAGGAGCATATAAATACTATGAAATAACTTGTACTCATCCTTCTTGCACAATTTAGCCCTTGAGGCATTGGGTGGCAGCTGTGCTGTGTTGGTGCAGACCTGAGTGCAACTATTGGTGTTTCTGGCAGTGCAGCTGGAACTGCAGGCAAGAGTGACTGACACTGGTGCTTCAAACCATGTACAACAAAAAGTAACCTTTCTAATTTTCTGAGCAAGGCTTGAAATTGTTCCTGTAAAACACCAAGCTGTTTGGCTTTACAGCTTTCAGATTTACATTTCCTTAAAAGTCCATGTTTATGGCTTTTTCTGTTCAACTGGTTGCCTTCATTCTGTGGGTATGAAGACCTTACATTTTTACTTAAAATGTAGTTTTGTTGCAATCTTCCTATGATTGCAGTAGTCCTACACTCTTGTAATGTGTAACCCATCCTATAAAATGAAATGAATGTCAAAGTTTTGTGTTTATTTTACTCAAAGAAAGAAAAAGGTTGGGGAATGAGTCAAATCAAGCACTTTGTTTTTCCACTGAGAAAAGATGAAATGTGCTGTTGTTAATAATCTCATTACTGCAGCACTCTGTCAGTGCCTGTAACATCTCCCCAGCTCTCGGGTGAAACCACTGCCCGCCCACTGCTCCGAGTTCTGCCACAATCGATTCATCAGCCCCAGCGCCGGCACCGCCGGGGCTCAGCTGGAGAGCAGGACCTGCCTCTGCCTGTTCTGCACTGGGAGGAGGAGGAGGAGGCCAGAATCCCTCCAGAAACAGCCAGAGCCTAAGCCAGAACCAGCACAGGCCATTGGTCTGCTGCTTCTGGTACACCACAGGCAGACTGGCGAGGTTTGTTAAATGAGAGATGCACCACCACGTGGCTGCCTGGGGCAGGGAAGGTGATTGTGTTTGTATTTCAAAGGAATTGAACACAAAGCTACATCTCCATTGTCTTCCAAGCTCTGCTGAGGCCCAAATCACTTCAGAATCCAGAGGGGGGCCCTGTACATCAGTTTCAGGTTTATTTTGGAGGGAAAGGAGTGATGTTTTTCAGAGGTTTCACATTTCAGTATTTCACATTGGCCATTTGGTTGTTAGGTTCACCTCATAAAGCAGTTCCTTTAGTACTGGAAATTTGGACAGCCAGGTTTGGGGAACTCTCCTGAAATACTCCTCTCCTAGGCAGCTTTCCTCATGCCTGTAGGATGAAGAAAAAGACAGCTGTAAGGACTGCTCTGTGTGATTGTACCCATGTAGCTTTTCAGTACTCTTCATGTTTCATGTCCCTAGGCAGCTTTCCTCATGCCTGTGGGATGAAGAAAAAGACAGCTGTAAGGACTGCTGTGTGTGATTGTACCCATGCAGCTTTTCAGTACTCTTCATGTTTCGTGTCCATAAACATGGATAAACATGAACCAGGAGTCTGTCTGAAGACCCAACAAGTGAAGAATCCCTCCAGCCCCTGAGTTTTTATTTAAGCTATAGAATTCTTATGCAGACATTGCCAGGAAATAATACCCCATACAGGGTGGAGTATTAAAAATGTGAAAATGTTCTGCCACAGGGAAAGAGTCAAGACTAAATAATTTTCAAACCCAAACAGCTATAATGAACTGTAGTAAAAGACTCTTGTTTTTAAGGCAGCAAAATGGGAAATTGTCATTTAAATAAGTTGGTCTTAATTCCTCACCAAACCAAGCTCCAGGGAAGACATGCTGTCAGGAAAAAGAGCACTGTTACCTCTTGGCCTGAATCTGTCAATCAGAGGAACAAAGCTGTCAAGGACACTCCGAATTCGGTACACTGGGTGTGAAAACAAACATATAAGGTAAGCAATGTTAGGAATATAGTTAGTAATTCGTGGAAATAAACGGTGTATAAAAATATATGTGTATAAAATAAACTGGGGCGGGGGGGGAGGGGAGAATTCCTTTTCCTCAGGATAGAGAAAAAAACCCTAAGCAGGATGAAATCAGGAAACCACGCAGCTGGGCACCACCACATTTGCATCCGAAGAGGACTCCAGCTGCAACAAAACTGAGTTATGGTCCCGCAATAAATTTTATTTTTCATATTTTTATTAAAATTGGCTATTTTTCGTTTTTCATTTATAACAAGCAACATAAAACATAAAAAAGTAGAAAAATGGCAAAACCCAAATACTGACCCTTGTTTAAACACGCACATCTGCAATATCATTAATAAGAAAGATCAGGCTGAGTCATGAGAGAACCATCCAGAACCTCCCACCATTTTAACATGAGATTACAGAGGAGACAAGTTCTTGGTTGGGGAGCCATAACTTGCTGCTGGTGTCAGCACTCCTATACCATCCTTAGGGATTGTCAAAATGCACAGGTTTTAATATTTCCAGTAGCTGCTGCCCCAAGCTCATCCTCAGTCCCAGGGGAATGCATGGCAGCCAGGATGCACAGCATCTTATCCAGTGGATCTGGGAAGACAGGCCTTGCTGCTAAAATTACACGTTGTCATGGCAACACAGCATTCGGCCATTGCTGCAGAAAGAGGTGACTCAGGGTCTTGTGATCACTGAGAAGGAAAAATGAGTCAACCTCTCCCTTCAGTAGCATTAAGGCTGCTTGTCTGCATCCCCTCTGTAATTGGGAGATGTTGGGGGAGTTTCGTGGTGAGTTACAGAATCTCAGCCCCAGCAGTTTTATGGGCTGTGGCAACTGTGTGACCTTGTCCTTAGTGCAGGGACACAGCTGCTGCTGGAGGCACACTTACCTAGACCAAAGTATATCCCAGTGGTTTCCAGGGAAGCAAAGGTGATTAAACCAATCCCAAGAGAAATAGTCCAATCTAAGGCAACAAAATAAATGTTAGCTTTGTTCATTTTTCTACAGTGCAACAATAAATCCTTCAATTGAATCTTGCCTTACCTTTGTAGTAGTAGTAGCAAACTAGTAAAGCTCCAATTGCAAAGCAAAGAATGACAAAATGAAAGAATTCATCTGAAATTGAGAGGGAAGATTAGGTCATAACTGCAGCCATGGCCCTTCCAAATTCACCTTTAGGTACAGAGTATCACCCATGGAATGAAATCAATTTCCCTGAGATTTCTCAGGCACTAGGCTCAACATTGTGAGAGGCCTCGATGATTTTCATCACGAAGCCTTGATGCACTTCAGCTAAGCACTCATGTTGGAAAAATGAGTGGAAAAAAGGTTTTTTTGAACCAGATATCTTATTCTTATTCTGTCAACAGGTTTGACGTCAGTTAAATTTAATAAATCAATTACCATCCTTCCGTATGCCCATCCATGTACACTGAGGGGGGTGAGTGCTCTCCTTCTCATATGCTACAAAAAAGAGAAGTCTTTTATTACTGTGGAACTGTGAAATTAAGGAGTTTAAAGTTTATTTCCCTTTCTGTATCTGAAATAGATTGTCAGAGCAGAATATATGTAAAACTTTTTGTTGGTCTGCAAACCTTTCAGAAAGATCAAATTAGAATTTTTAAAATCACTCCAAAGAGCATGGTTTTAAAAATGAATTTTAAAAAGTATAACCAGATGGCTGCATTAACAATACTGAATTGTTTTAAAGTACTCTGGGCACTTTCTGTCTCTTCTGGGACGAGCCATAGTCTCAGAATGACAGTGGGGGAGTAAAGCCCACAGTACAAGGGAGCTTCAGTTTGATCCCTGGGTGCTTTGCACAACCACAGCTACAGTAAAAATCTCCCCTTCCTTACTGATGGTGTGAGAACCATCCCTCTACTAACACCTGACACCAAGTACTTCTGCACCTCCCAAAATGAGACCTGCTGCTGAAATGAGTCTCCTGCAGCTACACTGGCGCAGAGAAAAAAACAACTTAAGAACAAATGAGGTATTTTAGAGGTTTAAACACAGAGCAGTTTGCTCTTTGTCATGAGCAAATTTGCCAAATTCTCTTTTTTCCCCATCTGTATTGCCAGAAAGACCTGAGTATTTTACCATCTCTCCAACAACAGGTTCAAAGCAGCAGTTTTTCCTTTTTTCTTAGTTGGTGGTTTGAGCAGCCCCTGAGGCACCTGCTGCACCCAAGCCTTTGGGAGTTGATTCAGAACAAGTTCCAGATGCTGATTTCCCCTACACTGGGCAACCTCCGCCTGGCAGTGAATTCTCTCTAAAGATGTAAGAGGCGAGTACTGGAAGGGTCCTTTACATGAACTGTAGACTTTTGCTGTGCTGCTTTTGAACCACAGAGCAACTAAACCTTGAAGAGAAACTCTGCTCTTCGTCACCTGATACAGGCATCAGATTTCTGCCTCTTTGAGCAGTCTGGATTGATCACATTCTGGTTTGGGGGCAAACTCAATTATTTTCTTATTAGCACCATAGTATTGCATTATTCTGACTCACAGATACAACTCTTTGCAGTTGTATGAACGTCTATAGATAAAGAATTTAGCAGAACATCAATTCACACTTGGCTAGTGTCTGTCCTGTATTACTCTACTTCCTAAATGCAACAGTCCCACTGTAAGATGGCATCATGGAATGACTTGCACAGTATTTCTTCTGTGAAAGCATTCCATGTTATTACCTGTTTTCAACCTTCTACTTTTTGATTAGACAATCTCTAGGCATTAAGGAGCTGGTATTGCCCTCATCACACTAAGCAAAACTCCTGAAAGAACACCTACAAAATAAACTTCTTTATTTGCATGTTTGTACTCACCATCTACATCTGAATCTTCTCTTCTGGCAATCTCTGCAAAGAAATATAATTTTGTTACTTCTGATGGAGTACAAATATGGAGCTTCTCACCATACTCAACACCAAGAAGCAGAGTGAGTAATCACCTATTGCAAGAAAACTGGGGGGAGTGGTAGAGAGGCCAAACACCAAAGGGGAAAGTCCCACGACCCTTTCTGCACCTGGCAGTGTGGGGAGAATACAGCCCTGCAATGGATCCCTCTGCCCTGGAGTTCCTGTGACTCCTTGGGGATAGGTAACTCAAAAACCTCCCCAAGGGATTTTGTAACTTCTCCACTGCACAGAGAGAAGTGCAGCAGATGTCCTCCCCAAAGGCTGCTCCCCTGAGCTGTTTGTCTCTCCTAACTCATCCTGTGGCCTTGGCCTGGGCACAGGAGGGATGAGCTCAGTAATGCAATTAAGCTGTTGGCAATTTCCTGCTGTGGGTTTTTTACAAACATTCTGGGGCTGTGCAGCAGTCTGGTGGGAGGAAGTCTGCCTTCACACTGCCTGTCTGTGCAAGCCTCTTGCCTGGCACTGTTGCTCTGTTGCCTGACATCTGGCTTTCACCTGGCACCTCCTGCTGGGAATGCTGTGCATTCAGAGCCAAACATCACTTCTTGCAGAAACCAGGTTCCAGGTCCCTCCCAGCCTTGCACCCCTGCTCAGCAGGAGACAGAGGGCTTCAGGGAATGTTAAAAACTGCCTCTAGCTTTTTTTGGCTAAGACTGAACAGTTGCCCAACAGAACTGCTGGGTTTTCCCCTAAAGAATGCCTGCTATGAGCTGATCTTGTGAGAGCCTGGCAGACCTACAAAAATGGGTTAATCTGCCAGAACACCTTGTACAAATCACCTGCTGTCAGCCAGTCACTACCACAGCCTTGCAACAGAATGTCTGCACCATGCCCAGGCCCAACACCAGGCTAACTGGAAACCAAGGGATTTACAGCCTGAGAGTTATTATTTAATGTCTCAGCAGGTCAGACAGAAGACACTGCAGTTATAGTCATTCCAGCAGGATGAGGTGACCTGGGAGCACTTACCTGAATCTCTGTAGGGAACCATCTCTGCTGGTATTCCTAAAACATGACACAGAGATGAGGTAGGTTAATACCTGCAGTGAAGGTATCTGGTGCCAGTGCCAGCCCATCAGCTCCCTGAAATCAGTGTGGGTGTGTTACAGAGACAAGGAAGAGACCAACTCTAACTCCTTACAGAGGGTGACTCTGCTGGGGGTTACGCAGTCAAAAAGTGGGAAATGACTGAATTCTTCCCCCCTGCTATTCCATCTCTCCAAGTATCTGGAGGGGTAGAATGATTCAGGTAGAATCAGACTCCTGTGAGACAGATTAGATCTCCTAATGTCAATTTCAAATGAGCTGCTCTTACATTTGGGCTGAGCTCAGTTTAAGACATTAATTAAAATATTAATGCTTTACATTTTTACATCCATAGGTCTATAGGTATTTCTGTGTATTGACACAGCACATTTTCTTCATCTGCATTGTAGTTATTTTCCATTTTTCCTTTGGTAAGAAAGGAGAACCCTCAGGAACAAGGTGGCCCTTGCTGATGATCTCCAGTCAGTGCTGTGGGATGACTGCAGGCCCTCTAAGTAGTGGCTGTGAGAGATGTTTTCAGAATCCTCTTGCTGCATTTCAGCAGCAGCAGCTGTGCAGACCCAGGCAGCAGAACTCCTCCCACAACAGCAGATTTTGCAGTTTTCCTGGGGCATGGCTGAGTGTCAGCATTAGTTGAGCTTCATCTTGTAGGAAATATCTTTCCTACAGCAAAATTCTGACTCATCTTTCTTTTATATCTACACATGTTAATATACCTTTGTTCAACAGCCAACCCAAAGAATGAAAAGAAATAATTCATTTTTGGTTTATATTGGTTGTCTCTAGTAAAAGCCAATACTGCTGTCACTTTGTCCTACCTCCAAGTAACTGGCCTTCAGTCTTCTGTCTTCCTAAATCTTCCTCATCACTGTCTAGACAGGAGAAAGTATTTGTTCATCAGAGTAAAGAAAAATGTGCTAGCAGCATCAGAAACAACAGCACTGTAGTTGTTTGCTCATAATATAACCATATGAAGGTAAAAATCAAGGCTTTGAAATGCAAGGATCACTATGGGCTGCTTTTGCCTCACAGCTCCCTTCAAAGCTGGCTGAACAGGTGAAAGTCAGCAAAACCTGAAGCTGGATTAACTTGTATAAAGGGCTGTAGAGAGAAGTTAGGATCTTCCATTTGGGGAAGGAATCTTGCAGCAGATTTCTACGTTTCTGAAACCAACTTCCACAAGAGTGGGTGGCAGCCACTATTTTGCTGATTATGAATCAGGTACTGATAACTTTCTATGATCTCTCTTTTGCACAATTTATTACTTTATTCAGAGCTGTACAGACTTGCCACATCTCCTATGTCAATCCTTACAAACATGCAGTCAGACTAAATTATGTATCAGGGAAAATAAAATAAATCCTCTTTACCTTGTGTATATTCATCCATGGACTCCTGGGAGGAGTTTTCAGACTTTTTGTCCTCTTCTGAATATTCAAAATTCCTTTCCAAACTCTTCAGGAGTTTCAATTTTTCATCTATTTTTTATAAAGGAAGAAAAGAAAAACATTATCAGTGACTACATTTTCTATTTTACAATTACAGATTTCCCAATGCTTTGTTAAAAGTTGCCTGACAGGAAATCAGACCCTTTGTCTAATTTCAGTTGTGTTTTTTGCACACAAAGGGTAATACAAAGCATCAAATGAAAACATCATACACACTACAGTTTAGACCTTCTTAAATGGCTGTGGTAGACACCTAAAGTTTCATATTCTGGCGTTTAATTATTCATAATGTTACCCCTGTGCAAATTCCCACTTCCTGAAGAGGCAGCAGCTGCACGATGCTTCAGCAGGAGGGTGGCTCCCCCTGCCCTGGGCTACTTCTGCCGCGGCTCCAGCTCCCTCTCGTGGCACAGGAGCACAGCCCTCACAGCCAGGCCACACCAGGATCCAGCTCCTCTGGCTCCTGTGGCCAGGGCTGCCTCTGAACAGTTCACACCCAGCTCTGTGCTCAGGGCCGGGGCTCTGAGCATCTCTTCATCAGGAGGGGCAGGATTTGGGCACAGGCAGGTAGATGGGATTCCTTCTCCTCCAGCTCCTCGAGGCTGCTCGCAGCCCAAGGGTCTTGTTACCAACATTCCTGCTCTGAGAGATGACCAAAGCTGGGCTGGGCACCAGGCTGGGAGGTCTCTCCCCTTCAGGAACAAGTTTAATCAAGGCAGAAGCAGGAACAGGATGTCCTTGAGAGTCCCCAGCTAAATTTAGGGTCATCTTAAGTGAGTGCTCCTCTGTTATCTGTTAAAGACAATTAATGACTATGGACCCTGTGAAACTGCCCTTAGTTCCTTACTGCGCAACCACGCAAATAAGTCTCTTTTATCTTGTTGCCAGGTTCAGCACCCTGTGTGCCATCCCCTGTCCATTCCTTTTATTTTTGCATGTGCTGACATGGAATTATATTTCTACAAATATTTTCCCTGGCTCAGCTCTGATTTCCTACCACTTAGAGTGCTCAGAGGGGTCCTGGCTGGCTGGATAACAGTCTGCAAAAACGTCAGGGAAAACTTTCTCAGGTCAAAGAAACTTCTTTGGCAGCATCATCCCAGGACATGCTCTCTCCCTAAACACAGGTAGTTCTTTCCCCAGAAGAAGGCAAGCCTAACTGCAGTAAAATACTAACTTTTGCTCCCATTACCACCATACCTGCCTTTCCTGAGCAGCACCCACTTCCAGGCAGTTCAGTTGTTCACTAATAATCACTTCCAGGCACATAACAGAGTGTTCAAGCTGCTGTCAAGTCCCACTGACAGCTGACAGGAGGACAGGTAGGACTCACCCTTTCCCTTGGAGCTGGGCAGCTGCCTGTACCCAGATGGATTGGAAGTCTTCAGCAAAAGATAAAGAAGAGCCATTGCCCTGACTCCTTTCTTCTCTATGGCTTTCAGGCAGGCAGCACAGCCTCCGGGGAGGACATCACAGCTGTTGAGGAGCTGAAAAGGAGGTAAGTAACTAGCAAATGGTCTTTCCAATAAAGCACAGCCTGTAGAAGCACACCCTGATGGGCAAATGAGTGTACCCCACCCTGTGGGAAATGTAACCCCCTGCTCCTACTATACAAAGGGAAAACTGGGGACAAAGAGTAATGTCAAAGATGGGAAGAGAATGTAAACTCCATTCAGCAACTCGGAGCAGAGCCTTCAACTGGGAAAAACAGCATAGTGGGCAGTAGTTAATATTCAGAGAGCTGTAGAAATACAGCTATAGGGTCTGAAAAAGGCCATGAAATTGCTGCAGTATCTTACAGCAAAATGTGACTAACAATGGTCCTGCCTAGAACATAGTGAGCTGAGCTGATCCTGAGGAATTTATACAGAGCCGTTATTTTTGCACATGGAGAGCAGAGAAATAAAAAGCAGTGGCCTGAACCTCATTTATGTAAGTGCCCTGTTACACCTTTTATTATATTTCAGTATTTCAGCTAGTGGAACTGTGTTCTCTCTCCCCAGAGTATAGTACAAAAGTAGAATAACAAGGATAGGTGCTTCTTTGGTTACTTACATTGTTCTTTTCTTCAGTATTCAGGATAGGTGGGTCAGTAGAGGCCAAGCATTTCACAAGTGATTCCCAGAAGGACTGGTTCATTTTCTCATGATTCTCCAAGTACTTGGCATCAGCAGCAAAAACTCTCTGAAGAATGTCTGCAAGGGAAACAAACCTGTCACTGTGCAGTAGAGAAGGGGGGTTTCATGGCAGTGTTCCTGTGGTGCTCAGTGCAGGTGTGGAGACAGACACCAGGCTGTAACACACTGCCCAATAACAGCACACAGGAAAGAGAGTGGTGCTGTACTGTATAAAGCATCTCAGTGTGCAACAAACAGTAGACAAATGTCAAATAGTCCATACAAATGACTGATGTCTCTGTGATGCTGTTGTCTCAGTTAGAGAAGCATGGCAAGTGTTCCCTAAGTATTGCTAGCTATTTAACAGGTATTTATTCTGACCATGTTGTTTTACAGATAGGCACAAAGACCCCAAGGACTGGATAACAAGGTTCTGAGGTTGCTCATCAGGCATTTAATGCACAGTACAGTCTCCTTCAGATATCTGAATTCCCACTTGCATGTGCACAAAGCCTAATAGGAGGCTGTGGAAGAGTTGGGAATTGACTGCTGGTCTCTCTTTTACAAGCAAGGAGACAGATAGGGTGTGTTTTCAGAGGAAACAGATTTCATTGACTCGTGCCCACCCTGGCAAACACTGCTGTGCACTGTGCATGAGCCAAAGCTCTGATCTTTGTGTGCCTCCCTCACCTCGCTGTTCTTCAGTAAGATCTGGGATTGGGACATCCAAATTCTCCATTGCTGTGCCTGTTTGAAAGGGGAGAAAAAGCACATTTAGAATCGGGTCACTGAGCTTCCTGGTTTTCTGTCTTTGATTTTCTGCAAACACAGTATCTCTCTCTGGGCCTTTCAGTTTTGAAACCACTTCTCTGTTTCACATCATGATTCATTTACCCTTCTGGGACCCAGTTTTTGTCTCCTCCAAGTGAGCCTCACTGGCCTTTGGTTATTAGGAAAGAACAAAAGTCTGATCATCATGAGTAAAACAAAAAGAAGTCAGACTTGATCATTCACATTGTTGTTTTGTAAAGCTACCAAGGTGTCTAATTAAACATTTACCACAGATGTGAGTAACCTAATAGGCTGGGTTCCATTCATGAAACAGAACAATTATCCTGTACCTTTAACATCCTAATACTTAAAATGTATCAGCCAGGAAAAATAGCAGAAATAGTTCCTAGCAAAGTCCCACAAGACTTTGAATTCTTGCCTCACAGAAGACTTTGATACTTCAACATCTGTTCTTCCCAAGTTGTCATGAAAAGGAAATTTCCAAAACTTTAGCTTTATGAATTACAAACTTTTAAGTGCTGATCCCAGATTAATTACTGGTATTTGTTACAGAAACAAATGTTCTGACATCTCCAAAATTCAGTATTTCCTTTGGCTTTTATAAACTTGCCACAGAAGTTTTGTGCCGAGGCTGGAATATTCTGATGGTGCACGTTTTATGGTGGCTGTGGTTCTGAACTGCTGCCTCTGCCTAGCATGGTCCAGGCATTCTGCACTGCTGCATCTCCCCTCGTGCAACATTGCAACTAATCAACGGTTGTATTGAGAGATGCAAAAGAAGGGTTTTGGGGAGCCTAAAGCACAGTTTCCACTATGCAGGATGCAATAAGAAAACAGTTCATATGTCCACACATTTTCTTATAATATGAGTTTTGGATGCATTCAACAAAACACTTCCAATCAAGCACTTTCAGAACTAAGTATATCCTTCAAATTTTCTAGAGGAAAACCTGTTTCTTTTCCCACTGTCGCTTTCAGTTGTCTAAAGACCATCATATCAGTCCAAAAAATATTCTAATACAAAGCCCAAAACAAGTCAGTTAATATCTTGAAAAGGATATTGTAACACACAAACAAACAGAACAACTTTTTAGGGTGTCAGTTCTCAGACAGAGGAAATTAGACACAGACAAACTTCAAAAGACTTCTGGGAAAATTATATAACCACTTTCAAAGGCTCAGCTCAGAAAACTTGGCTTACCTGCCTCCAAAGTGTATAGTGAGAAAACAATATTTTAACAACATTTTGAAATTATTCCCAGTGATGAATCTATGCAAAAGATCTACAGATCTTCCCCTTTCCTTGACTTACATCCAGTCTTTGCTGCTGTAGCTGTGGCAGCAGCCCTGTGGGAGCTGCAAGCCTGTGAGCACCCGATAGGGAATGCAGGAAATGCATCTGTCCCCTCTGTGGGTAAGCATCAGCTGATGTGGAAATGTAGGAACCCAGCACACCACACCCTGGACGGACTTGTTCTTGGCCACTCAATCAAGAATGCCAGTTCATAGGCACATATATATCTGCAGCTATGGTTTTCTGCCTTTTTTCAGTCTCTTTCTTGCCTTCCTATTTGCTCAACTTAGACCCTGCAACAGTTGCTTGTTTAACCTAAATCCTTTAGGCCTCTCTCTGGACTGCATGGTCAAAACACCAGAGCTAAAGGAACAAAAGTACTTTAAATATAAACATTTTTTTCCAGCTGATTAATTCAATTTCAGAAAATAATTTAAAAAGTATCATGATGTTTTACTGTCAAGAGAAACTCAGGAGGTTTGTCTTTGGGGTTCCTAGTACCTAGTGAAGGCCACTTTCGGTGGCATTTTAAGGCAGGTTGCTGTTCCCCTGACAGGAACCTGTCACAGCAGCTGCCTTATCCCAGATTTGCATCATCCCAAAGACAAAGTGAGCAGGTTGGCACTACCTGACCTGTCCTGCCACGCACACAGGAAGAGCAGATTCAACACTGAAGGCAGGGCAGACGCTGCCAGCGTCATCTTCATCTGCTATCAGACTGATTTACTTCAAAACCGCTCATTTGCTGTCCCAAATGAGCCAGCAGGCTGCTCAGCTGTTCCAGCAACAGAAACAGAGTTGCCTAATGCCTTTTGCATCCTGCTGTGGTAAGACCTGGATGCCACAGTAAGATCCAGGAGCACCCAGCATCTGCTCCCATCTCCCTTTCTGTGCCTCCAGCACAGCTCAGCCCAGTCAGTCACCAAGATTTATATTAACCAAGGAAGTTGGGTACCTAATTTCTCTTAGACTATGCACATTAATTACCCTGTGGCTCGTCTGGAAAGAAAATCAGATCTAAACAAAGGATAACTATAGGTACCTAATTATTGTATGTTTTAAAAGTGACTTAGTTGATTATACCTCATAATGAGAGAAGGATGATGATATACAGGCATTTCAGCCTGTCACTGGGCAGTGACATGAACAACAGACTTCACCTTGCTTTCCTCACAGTAAATCACAATTTAATTGCACTGAGGTCTTTTTAACATGTTAGAATAAAATTTTTGTGCAGAGTCACATTTAGAAAGTGAGGTTAACAACTTCCATACATAAGTTTTGCTTAGCTGATGAAATATATCTGAGGGAAATTGCTCAATGGGATAACAAGAAAAATGCAAATAAAATTGTTTTACCTTCAAGTCAAAAATCAGACAATCCCAAACATTTTCCCTTTGAAACTACTTTTACCTTTCATTTTAAGTTATATGCTGACACCTAAACCTGCTAAATTTTATTTTAAAGTCCCTCAATGCCTTCTCTCAAATCAAAGCAAACCAACTTCTTAAAGCACACCTGCAAGTCTTAGGTTGGTCCTAGCAGCTGGTTCCACAGGAGGACGTCCTGGAGGGCCGTGGCCGTGGTGAAAGCTGAGTTTCTTCCTGTGAGACAACAAAAACTGATCCACACCAGTTCTGTCTGAAACCCTTCCTGCTCCAGTCTCCTCGGGCTGTGGTAATAATTCTGCTACCCTTCTGCTTGCCTTCCTGTTGTCAAATTTAGCTGAAATGCAACACAGAAGTAGCAAAACTCAGACTTTTCATTCTCCTTGAACACAGGCGTGTAGGGAGACCCAGCAAATGCATGTCACAGCAGCGAGGGCAGCTCCCCATGCTGGCTCTGACAGCCCCATGGGGGTGAGCAAGGAGCAGGCACAGCCCATGCACTCCTTGCCACAGCTCCAGCACTTCCTTCCTCCCCTGGCTTTCACAGCAGGCCCAGACACGGTGGCTGCACTGCTGCCAGCCCCACACCTGTAAGCCCTGGGGAGGTTGTTGTCCATTTTCCAGCTCTGCCCTAAGCATTGACGTGAAGCGTTTGAAATTACTTGGTTTGTGTTTCTCCTTTCATGCCCTGTGCCTCTCTGTGGTTGCTGTAAAGCTCTGAAGGAAGAATATTAACTCATCAGAAGCCAGAAATGTTGATGATTGTAGTCTGAGTAAAATTAAGGCAAACAAACCTTTCTCTTTGCATAAAGTGTTGGGCATGCTGTGAGGATTTTAGAGAAAATAACTATTTAAAAAATGGGGAAGTTGAGTCAAAAAGACTCCAGCTGAGTCAAAAAGAGAGATTATAGGGAAGTCCTGTAATCCCCACAGCACCAGAACCCTTTTCCTATACAGTAGCTTAATGCCTCAAATAGCAACCAATAACCCAGCAGTACCAAGAGCCAGCACACAGCCCCCAACCACCCTCAGGCTTGACCCCAAGAAGCTCCCGAACCCCTCCCCAGCACTCACCTTCACGGCTGTGTGGCAGTTCAGGATCCTGGGTCAGGGATCCAGGGCCAGCCCTGGGCGGGAAGGCGTCGGGGCTGGGGCCTCACGTGGCCTCCCCTGACTCACGGGGTGAGCGGCAGCGGCTCCGTTGTCCTGTGGCTCCTGAGGTCACGCTGTAGGCGTGTGCTCCCATGTCCCTGAGCCCTGGGGAAGGTGGCCAAGGGCCAGTCCCGCTGGCACAGCGAGAGGAGATGCAGCTCCCAGCCTGCTTCAGGCACTAATGGCCCCCAGTGGCCCTGAGCAGCCAGGAGCCCTCACTCCTGCCCACGGCTGCTCCAGCACAGCCCCTGCTCAGGTTGGAGACCCAGCCCAGCCCTGCTTGTTTGGCCTCCCTGGGACATCAGGGGGGCACTGGGGATGTAGAATCCACTCTGTGGGGAGAAGCCCTGGGCTCTGGTAAAGCTAAGCAGGGACACCGTGATGAGGGTTTGGAAGCCCAGGCACACTCCCCTCCTGCTCAGGGCATCCCAGGGAGGCACAGGTGGAATGCCTGTGAAGCTAGGCCAGTGACAACAAAGAGAAACGTGCTCTCTACCCCACCTGTCCCCAGCAGCCACAGAGGGTGCTGACAACACAAAGCCTCTGGCTCTGCTCATCCTATACCTGCCATAAAGGTCATTGGTGCTCCCCTCCAGCCCTTCTCAGCCACAACAGTTAATCTGGAGCCACCCCAGGGTTCTTTGCTGTTCAGGGCAGCTGCTCCCTCACTGGCAGGTGATGCTTTCTGAGCCAGCCAGCCTTCACCACAAGGAAATGAGAGTAGGAAAAGAGGGGGCAAATTCCTGCAGTGCACTACTGCAGAAGGTGGCAGATGTTTGGTCACCTGAAAATGTATGTGAGGAGTGACAGCCAGTGTCAAAGGAGACTCCTTGGGCCACTCCAATAGCACAGTGGCTGTTGATTGCACAAGGTGTGGTCATGTAAGTCATTTGTCAAATTCAGCTAATGGTTTGACCTGGTGCAGTTGGTACTCCAGGACGGATTGTACTCCCTCCCTCTGTTCTCACTTCTTCATCTCCTGATGCTTCTGGAGTGACTGGGACACAGGTAAAGTTATACTTCCTGTACTTCCTTATTTTTCTTTTCCAGTCTGTTTGGCTGTTTGCTATGGTTTTTTGGTATCTTTTTAGAAGAGGAAAGGATTGGGGTTTGTGGTTTTTAAGCCAGGTATTCCACTACATTTATACAAGTGCCTATTCAAATGCCTTGTCTCACTTCCCCTGACATTTTTAATTACATGTAACATTGAACACTTAAAGCAGCTAAGACTCTGCATCTACTGCCGGGAAGATTATCTAATGAATTAGAATGCTTTATCATGTATTACAGGTGTTTACTTGGTCCTTATTTGGGAACCGTCCTCTGAGAGATTAAGGAGAATGGTGATTTATTCTTTGTATGCTGGGAAAATTGCTTCCAGGAGAGGTTTAGAGAGGTGAGACACAGGCAGAGCAGCTCTTATGCTTGACACTAATTGGGTGCAACATGTGTGTGGATTTGTCACTCAGACAGGTTGCATGAGAAATGTGGAAATACTCCTAAGTGAGTGTAGGAGGAGCCCAATGATGGAACATACAGTAGTTATTGCTCATTATGTCATCACATTTCTGACAGATTTAAACATTCCCATGACTCCTCTTGCCCTACCCTGACTTTCATCCAATGGGCTGGTTAAATTACTCCCTCCTGTGCATTTACTTGCTACTTATTTTCCTTTAAATAAAGTCTGCTTCAACAATTGTTGTGAGCCTGTGAAGCACAGGTAAGTGCAGGAGGAGGATTATGCCACACTGCCAGCTGTACTTTGCAGGCTACAGGTAGTTTACAGCTACCTTCCTGCTTTTAAACTGTGAGACTCGAGAGAGAAGGAAAAAGCAACAAGAAGTGAATACAACCCACTTCCAAACCTTCCAGACCATCACTGAACCAGTAACTTATGCTGAAATCGGGTGAAAGATGTTTGCTTTTGGCTGGGACAAAGCCTGACATTTTGCTATGAAAGCTTGTGGAATCATATGTAGAGTATGAGTAGACCATGTTGTACCTTACTAAGATTTTTGGAAAATTTTCTCATTCTGTACCCTCCTGTGGAATTACTTGCCATAATAAATAATTCATTGTATAATTATTTTAAATTAACACAGTAAAATTTTTGCTAAAGCCCATTAAATTTAAGAACTAGGCCTGTTGGAGCAGGCTAAATCAGAGGCCAGGATGTATCACTCACTTCCTGGAGGATTACTGAGCTCCTCAGGTGCTGCTATCAACAGCTCCCAAGGAAGAAAAGTGAGTGATTCCAGTACTGACAAGCACAGGATCCTTCCCTTAATGGCTGCAGGTAATGATGGAAACTCCTCTTTATGGGAGCTCCCCTTTGCTATGGTCAGCACACTACAGGCTCACAAATGGGCTCTGAGGAATGAGAGAGAGAGGGAGGGGGGTGTCTGGACTCTGGGGCACTGGCTGCTGGTCATTCCAGTTTAGCTACAAGGGCAGTCTTCCAGTTACAGTCTGGCTGCTGAAGCCCAGGCCCATCAGTAGGATGGACAGTGCAGCCCCAACACAAAGCACAAATCCTAAAAGGACAGGCTGCTGCCTGACAGAAGTAGGGAACAGTGAACTTTTCCCAGCCCCTGGCCTGGCTGAGCAGTGCTGCAGCAAGCACAGGGATCAAAGTGGGGTCCCAGGAGACTCTCCTCACCCACTGCCCTAACTGGAGAACTGCTTCCATAAGCAACCTCCAAGTACCTGCTCCAGTATCTGCTCCTCTCCTCTTCCTTGCTCTCCCAGTTCACTGGGCTCCCTTTCCACCCCAGTCTTCTGGTCTAGCAATAGGGCTGGAAGTGCCCCATGGAAGCAGAGCCAAGGCAGGGGAGCACAGATGCACCCTGGGAAGCACCAGGAGCCTGAGGGACAATTCCCAGCTTCAGCTGATCCTCCCTCTTGATAAAGCCCTTTTCCTCAGCACTTTTAAGCACACAGGCAATGCCAAGGATTTCGATATTTAATCCTCATGTTTTGTGGAATGGGTTTGGTCCTGGAATCCATTTTGTAACCCTGTCAGCAAGGCAGGCTGTGACGTGTCCCCCACTGCTTTGTCAGCAATGTACCTGCCAGGAGATGGCAAGGCCACAAAGCAGAACAGCCTCCAAAGGCAAGGAGGCATGGGTTGGTTACCCAATGGGGTTACCTGTGGCACAGGGGCAACACAGGGAGAGTCACAGAGCTGGGCTGGGGTTGGGCCAGCAGCTCTGTGCAGCACTGACCAAACTGGCGGGGGCATCCCCCTCAGAGTTTGATCTACCCATTATTTCCCCAGGATATTATTCTCAAGTTTTGCTCCAGGACATACCCAACAATAATCCTCTCCTCCTCCAAAAAGAGGGCTCTGTCAACAACTGGCTTCACACTTCTGTGATATGAAGTGAAAACACACAGGCTGCATCAGATTGCACAGGGAGAGAGGGACAGGGAAGGTAAGTGGAAAAGTGAGTTCAGGGTACGGCCACCCTCATGATGCTTTTATGTACTCCAAGGCCAAGCTCCCAGGACCTGAACAGCTCAGAGCAGTAGTGCTGGCAGCTTTTGGAAACTAGACACAAAGCCTCAGTGAATCTGGAGACCTCCCATACTCCTGTGACCTTCCCATCCCACTGACCTGGGGAGCAGCAGCAATCCCAGGCTGGCAGGGCCAATCTTCTTTTTGTGAGACAACTACTCCAGTGACATCCGCTGCTGTCAGTGCCTTGCCACCAGGATGCAAACAGACACCATCTTCTGGGATCTTTAAAATTCAGCCTTGCAAAGCTCTTAGGATCAAAGTGCAGCTGTCCCTCAACAACTCAGCTTTCTCCTAAAACATTCCTCTCTTGAGATCCTCAGCTCACTGAATTATCAGGTTCAATCACCTGCAACATAAAGGGGATGAAGGTACATTTCACTTTAAAACTGTTTCCTAAAATCAAGGGTCTGCTCACAGGAGGCACTGAGAGCCCAAAGGGTATTTACTAAAAGCTAGAACTATTTCAAAAATCTGGTCCAATCCATTCATCCTAAAAGGTGCACTCTGGATCAGACTAAAACTTTTTTGGGCTATGCAAAGCTTGAATCAAGTTCTAGATCCCTGTTCTGCTGACACCACACAAAGGGTGACACCAATATACCATGTCTTGCACCCAGATCAAAACACTACACTCATTCCCAAACCTTGGAGCCTCTAACGAGGACTGCTGGACTGCTCCAATCACTCCATGAGGCCTGGCTGCCTGTCCAGCAGGCAGTGAGCACTACTGTCTGTCCACTGTCTGTCACCCAAGAGTGCAAACCTTTCTCAAGCTACAGATTGGCTCCAGCTCTCCAGGTCAATTCTGGCACCTTCACAAGGGGCTTCAAACCAGCTTCTCTGCAGTTCAGACTCTGGGAAAAGGTCTCAGACCACCAACAGCTCTCCGCTGACCATAAACAGAGCACCCAGCCCTCTCAGGAGATGAGGACAGCATGGTATCAGGACACAGAGCACACGGCCATCTCCTGCTATTAAATGTGTGGTGGGAAGAACAGCACCACCAACTCTCCACATAGATCAGTCATCTAAATTAGAATACACAAATCCACTCCAGAAAAGTTTAATGTGGGTTCCTGGGGCATCATATTCTAAAAAAAACAAACTGAAAAAAAACAAACCAAAACCCGAAATACAGTACAAAGAAAAAAGGCAAACAGAATTCCCCAGTATTTAAAATAATGAAATGTATCAAAGCTCCATCTATTACAAGGCTGCACATCACAGCAGCTGCTGGAGGAAGCAGTACCAGCCTGAGGACCAGGAGGCTTCACCCCTCAGAGACAGCCTGGAATAAGCAGCACCAAACCAGAAAACTTGGCTCCTTAGGGAACTAAGACTCCTTGAAAGGAAAAGGGCAGAACTCTGTACTGCAGTGAGCTGCCCATCATCCCTGCTGCTGGGAGATGAACCAGACAGGCTGATCCCACAGTGCTGAAGCTCTGTGAGAGCACATATCCTGGGAGGAGTGGCACCTTCCAGCAGATTCCACCACCTGCATGGCAAAACCTACTCCTGAGAAATCCTGGTATGAGAGGAAAAAGAGCCATTACAACAGCCAGTCAGGAGACCAGGAAGGGATTGAGACACACCATGCTACTAGCTGGGAACAGAAACAAGCAATGGATCTCGAGTTAAGAGGTCAGCCCAGTACAAACACAGTGCCAGGGACTGTGGTACCCTGTCTCCCATTCAGTCTTTGAAGAATCTTAGCATAATTTAGGCAAGAACCTCTGCTGGTCTCTGCCTCAACCCTGTCCCATTCAAAGCAGGGCAAACTTCAAAATCCAATTAGTTCAGGGCCTTCTCCAGATAAATACTGAGTTATCTCCAATGACGGAGATCTCAGGACTCCAGCACATCCACAGTATGCAATGCATGGGCCATGGCAGTACTTCTGATGTACTTGGGCTACAGAGCAGCCACCATGGAGCCAAGGGAGAGCTGCTTTCCTTCCGTCTGTCAATCTTCTTGTGACAACAGTATAATTTGATATGCCCTACACCTAAGAGCAGTGACCCATGGCTGTTCCACTTCACTGCAGGGCTGCTACAAAGCACTCATTTCCACAGGTACTGTGTTCCAAAAGCAGCCAAGCCACCCTGATGTGCAGCCCAAACCGAGAGTAACCATGAGAGCTGAGGGAAAAGCTGGAGGAGCACTTATTCAAACAATGGAAAACAGAGATTCTTATGGAGAACAAAACTGTGAGCTCACAGGAGGACCTATGTCAACAAGGAACCAGCTGATGTGAGACAGCCTCAAAAAATATAACAAACATTAAGTAACTCAGGTGCTCAGTAAACACTGCAGGCATGACAGTGCCATCATGAAAAAGCTAAGATTACAGTTGGAGAATATACCTTTTAAAGCCTGCTGGGAAGCAATAAAAACTTTGGTGACACCAATTCCATGGACTCCCCAACAAATACTAAATATGAGCAGTGAATCTGCAGATCTAGATGCCCACTGAAAAACTGAGATAAACAGAGGAGTGGTGGGGAAGGGCTGAGAGACTTCCTTCTCCTTGCCACTTGCCTCACAGAGAGGAGAAACACCTGTTCCCAGCTGCTGGCAAAGGGCCCTCTCCTGTGGCATGTGCACCACACCAGGCGAGCCTGCTGTCCCCACTCTGCCCTGACATGTGCACATGTGAAGGCTGAGACACCCTCCAGACCACAGGGATCACCATTTTCTGCTATGATCCCAGCAGGAGCACAAAGCACCCCAAAGGCCATTCAGGTGCCTCCAGGAGCTGACAACAGCCTGGCCCACAGCCCCTGTGGCACAGCCCCCACGCGTGGGGAGGAACGTGTGCCCAAACCCCGCGGGTCAGGCAGACGGAAGGGCAGGCTCTGGACATCCAGGACGGTGGCAGGGAGCCGGGCATCCCGCGGCCCGGCCCCAGGCAGGCACGCAGAGAGCAGGCAGGGCAGGAGCACAGCGGTTTATTGGCAACACGAGCAGAGGCGGCGGCGGTGGTGGCGGGCCCCGAGCGGGGTGAGGGGCGGCGGTGCTCCGGCGGCGGGGCCGGGGCCGCCCCGGGCCTATGTCAGCGTCTCCCCCTTGGTGACCTACGGGAAAAGGAAAAGTCTCAACCAGGGCCGGCCCCGGGCCCGGCCCGCACCCGGCCCACCGCCCCGCTGCTCACCCGGGCTTCGATGTACTCGATTCTCCGCTCCAGCGCCGTCAGCTTCTCGTTCAGGGTGGCCAGCCGGGACCGGCACGACATGTCTGCGGGGAGGCGGCAGTGAGACACCGTGAGCCACGGCCCGGCCCGGTCCGGCCCGCCCGCAGCCCCCGCCCCGCGCCCTCACCGAAGGAGTTGAGGAAGTCCGCGATTTTCTTGATGGAGCTGGTGATCACCTCGATGTACTCGCGGTTGGCCCAGTCCTGGTGGATCTCCCGCTGCACCGGGTCCTCCTGCACCGACATGGCCGCCGCCGCCGCCGCGCCTGCGCGGGAGCCGCGCCCCGCCCGCCCGCCCGGTGCCTCAGGGCCGCGCTGCCCCCGGGCCCGGCCCGGCCCCGCCGCGCTCCTCGCTGCCGTCCGTGTCGCTGCTGCTCGGCTCCTGCGGGACACGCCGCCGTCAGAACGGGGGCTGCACCCCAGCCCTCCCCCGCCTTGCAGAGGCGCAGCCCGGCGGCCCCTGAAGTACCTCCTCCGCCGGGCCCTCCGCCGAATCCTCCTCGTCCTCATCCGAGCCCCTCTCCTCAGAGGCCTGAGTCAAAATTTCTTCTCCCTAAGTTGAACACAAGATCTGTGCTGAGTGTATGCGAAGCGGCCAAAGCGTGCCAGGGTGGGATGGAAGGAAAGGGCATTTTGTTGCCTTCTTAAATAAAAAGTTTTAGAGTTTAAAAAAATCAGGTTTTGTTTAACTGTTCTGCTTCTACAGTGAAAGATGAAGAGCCAGAACTGGCTTCTTTTAAAACTACACATGTAAGTGTGTGAAGGTGTTCAAGTGACCTTTATCTCTTCCCTCTTGTGCATGTAGTTCTTGCCACGGAACAGCCAAAAAATCCCCATACCTGTTCATTATGATCAAATCTGACCCCTCAGTGCAAGAGCCTAGAGATGCAGACTCTTAATCCTGAAATAAAAAGCTTCTTTCTCCTGCACTAGACATGACTGTACTATGGTCACACTGAATTTGGCCTTTTAGCTATACCCACACTCAAGGGGAGAGTTCGAGTTGTCTGGACACAATGAGCAATCCTCTCCCAGATTTTACTTGCCCCAGGCAGGGCAGTGACTCTCACCTGAAGATCCCGATTTTTGAGGATGCCGACCCAGAAGGCCTCCTGGCAGTGGTTGAATGCCAGCATTGCCTTCACTCTGTACACAAATTGTTCCAGGGACTTCTTCAACAAAGGCACATGGTTGGTCAGTCCAATGTCTTGGTGAATCTATGCAACAGTAAAATGTGATGAGGATTGATTCTTCCCTAAGTGTTCTGGCTGTTTAAAAAGCATTGGTTATCAGGTGGGATGGGCATGAGCCCCACAAAGCTTGCCCAGATGACATCACTTCTTGGCCAAATTATAGCTATTGTTAAAAAATAAAGCTCAGGTCAGTATTTTGTCTAAACTGATACCTTACAACAGTCCAAATATCCACATTCACCTGGATTAAAATAAGTCTGGTTTTGTCATGAACTCTAGAGAGAAGCTAGTAACTCCTCTGCTGAATTCCCAAGCTCAGAAAAGAAAAAATGAGAAAGGTGTTAAATATACCTCTTCCATCACAACCTTTTCTTGCTCAGTGCCTCAAGCAATTCCTTTACATGGAGTGTGTGTGCACTATAAACTCCAAAGCCAGGTTCTCTGGAGCAAAGAAGCACTGGCTTTTGGAGAACTAGGACAGGAGGAACAGATGGAGTTGCTGTAAGCAAAAGCCACCAGAGGAAGGGCAGCTATGCCAGGTATCCTAAGAGATTTAGCTCTGGGTGAGCATCTCCTGCTAGGCTTCAATCTGCAGTACAGAACAGTCATTGCTAAACCAGAAATCCTGTCAACCTGCCAAAACCTGCACAATTATTTTGTATGTAAGTATTTTCCTCTTTCATGAGAATACTTTGTAATCTTCTGGGATTAAGATGCTGTCATTAGCTGTACTCTGAATTCAGGTCACCTGCATTTCTTGGAGTTCAGCATGCCTGGGCAGAGGGACACTGCTTTGCTTCAAGTTCTGCCAACAGGGAATGGGTAACTGATTACCAACAGCAAGCTGTTCTCTAGCCTGTGTAACAGGCAGGAGCTAGCCATCATCAGCACTAATCAGAACCAAGCCAGCAGAACCCTTGCTAATGACACAATCAACACTCACAGTGCTCCCTGGGCCCTGGAAACTGCCCCAGGCAGTGTGCAGGCAGTTTGGACACTGAACAAAGTACAGCACTGGCAAAAATCTGTGTCCAGAAACTGTCCACGTGCCCAGGGTTAGATATGTAAACAGAAAAGAGGCTTGGTGTGAAAGGGGAAATGACAAATACTTAGGAAATGACGGGTGAAGCTGACTGCTGTTGCCTGCTGTGTAATGCTCTTTAAAGACACATGTATTGAGGGAGAGTGACAAATCCTGGGTCACATTGCACAATGGGTTAGTGAGCCTCCCTGAGGTTTGTGTGAAAGTGAAATCAAGGTTGGTTTAACAAATGGTGGTGTCAACTCCTCTTCAAACAAGTATGGAACATTCATTGCATACCTTTACTTGCCCCAGATTCAGTTTCTGCCTTCTTATTCTTGCAAAATGATTTGGTACAGAGATCTGTACCAGCAAAGTGGTACATTAATCAGAGAAGGCGTTCATTAATTGCAGCCCTGTGCTAACAAGGACCATGGGACACAGCACTTCAACATGCTGGCCAAGTGCAAAGACAAAGATTACATGAAAAGCTGCAATGCTGTAATCCTGCTAACAAGGTGAATTGAGACTTTAAAGCAGGCATGAGGATTTCACTTTGAAACTTGAGGACTTTTTAGCATTGTCAGGGTTTGTGCCAGCTTCCACTTCTCACTGTGCTGAGAGGTGCAATGGCATCTTCTGATCTTTAGCTAAATATCCATGCTCCTGATGCCAGCTCTTGCCTAAATGGGTAGCAAATCTGGCTTGGGAGCCATGCTGGTAGCTGGCTTTCTTCCTTCAGCTACTTTGGCAAAGCTCCCTTCTTGGACAAATGTTCACAAACCTTTTAGGAGTCAGGAACAAAGCAGCACGCATGAAGATCTTCCTGTCTGCTCCGGAGTGATTTTCTCTTGCAACACACACTGTCTCTCCACACTATAAGCAAAGTTCTAATCCTCTCCTTCCTTCCTGCCCCAAGTCTCCCACAGAGACAGACTGTTATCACTGTCCTCCTTCTCCCTTTGCCCTTACCAACATAACATAAAAGCCATCTCAAGAGGACTTTGAGCAGGGATTTTCCCCATCCACCTCCTGTTGCTGATTCTTCTGACTCACAAGGCTGTTCATCTTTGGCAAAGCTTCTCTCCTTTATTATCAATCTGGCATTTGTACTTTGTTCAAGTTCTCCAAGATCTTAACTTGTGTTCTCAGAAACAACCCCTTATAGATGCCAACAACTAAAGATGGCCAGAACCTCTGTGTTAAAAAAATATTATGCCAACCTGACCTAACATTCAAGTCAGTCACTTCCAGAACAAATGCTTTGACTTTTGGGTTATTAAACAAGGCTATTTCACCTTCTCTCAAAGTTTTTGCTTGCACAGACACTGCTGGAAGTATGCAAGTAGAACCTGCCAATGCCCTGGAAAAGCAGTGGAAGGGAAATAATACCATCCTTAGCACAGAAGTTTGTGCTGCAGTTGGAACTTATCTTACCTTGGAATGGCCACACATGTGATGAAGTTGTCTGGTACTCATTTGCAAGGTTTTCAGCAAACTCTGCACATCATCCTGCAATAAATAAGCAGATCAGCAAATCATTCTCAAAGGACTTTCCATAGGGAAACAAGACTATTGGAACAGCCTTAGTCCTAGCAGTCCTTTCAAAGGGTTATGGGATAGAGGTAAGATGCATGTATGCAGGAAGTATCAGTCATGATTCCCAACTGGCTGCAGCCATTCTGTCCCCTGGATTACCGTGTGCTTTTTAAAGCTGTGGTCCAGGAGAGGCATGGCAAGCTTCAGAAATGCTTCCACAAAGAGGCGGCCATACTATAAAAGAGAGATAAATATATCAGCAAGCAAATTTAAACTCCTTCTCAAAGAACCATCACAAAGTCAGATGAGATAATGATACAATCTTCCAAGCCACCCCAGAGACTGTTTTTGCTTAGAAAAATATTATATTCATGTGAATATGTACTGTACATATGTGCAGTATTGGAATATACAGGATCAGTAAAGGGTTCCACTTTAATCAAAGAGAGACTAGAAGGACAAGGTCTCATCATTGTACACATCCCTGGTTTTATCCACCAGGGTTTTATCTGGGAATAAACTGGACTAAATGCAAAATGTTAGAATCACTATACATATATATGTATAGAAAGGTGTAAGAAGCACGTATCTGCTTCTTCCAGAGAATCCAGTACCCACTCTACTGTACTAGAGGCAATGAGTCAAGAGAGCTGGTACTTAAACTGCTCTCTTCAGTTATCCTAAACTTTTGCTTACCTTCAGGCAGATGCTGAGTACAGGCCTGCTGTCAAATACCTACATGGACAAGAGGAAAAAAGAGTCAGATCAGTCCACAAGTCTAAAGAAAACCATGTAAGCACAGCACCCAATTAAAAACAGCCCTTCATGGCAACCCCAGTGAATGTGTGAACCCTGCTCTAAAGCAACATCCATTCTCAAGTTTCAGCAGGAACACCACAGAAGCACGTGAACTGTAGTGGCTCTCAGGTGGAAGCCCTTGGCAGGACTGCTGTTCAGTGATCTAAGGTGCACCTTTTGCAGATGGCACAAAATTATGTCAACGAGTCTAAAGTTCTTAACAGTTTGGGACTCAAGAGACCCAAGCCCAGCTGATGGGCAAATAATTACATAATAGACAAAGCAAAACTGAGATAGACAAAATAATGTAAAGGTAACCCTGATGCTGCTGTGGACTAAACTGAACTATGGACAAAACTGAACTAAGAGGTCCAGCTCTGCCTTTATGCTCTCCAAAGGCATCTGGAGCACAGGTAGGGTTCCCGTGAATGCTGCTGTATAGAAACACCTGGGCTCGCCAATTATCACTTCAGATATGTAAAAATAAACAGTAATGCTCAACCTAAGCAAGGAGAAAAGTAGAACTGTACTTATCTTATCACCTTCTGGCCCAAACAGCCTCACACTCAAGAGACACTGAATGAACCAGCTCCAAAACTGACAGAAGGGGATATTTCATCCAGTGGGACTGGGCACAGATTATAACTGGCTTTAATTATCACCTCCAGGTTGTTCCACTAGTCAGTCACACTTCATGTTTTTCCCCAGTGCTCCTGAGCCTGGGAACACCAGGTCTTACTGAGAATTTGGAGGCAAAGGCAGAAAAACGAGAACCTCACCTTGACCAAGTTAATGAGGATGTGGAAATTGCGCACAGCGATGTTCCAGCGCAGCAGCTTCTCCAGTTGCACCTACGGGATGCAAGGGGACAGTAACCCAAGAGGCTGCATTTCCTCTCACTTTGCTGGATGTGCTTGCAGAATTTGCTGTACCCAAAGCACTGTTGTTGTTGAAGACAAACGAACAAAGCTTCACCACAAGCATATTTATCACAGCAGAAACACTCCGTGGCAATTCCACCCTGATCGGTGGCTTTAAGTGCTAGGAGTTAACTTGCTTGCTCTCAGAGCAGCTCTTGGTTGCAAAATAATGTTGTGCTCCCACACAGGTGTGCAAAACAACTGCACAGTTTAGTATTTTGCTGATTAATGCCTATTTTCTGGTCGCAGCTTCTGCTGGATTTACTAGATTTTTGACATGGTGCAAATCAGGAAAAAAATATGCTACTTATATGTTACCCTGCATATCAGTGTTGATATACATTGATCAATGAAGGTGTCTGACTGCATTTCCTAGACAAAGAAATTTACAGAAATAAATTCCTTTCTAATTTATACATCTTATTGTACTGTCCAGTTTAACCTAAGTCTTCTTCCCCTTACAGAGTGTCCAGTGTATTCATTTTCCTACCTCACTTGAGTCTGAGGGTTTTCCAGCTGGGATGCTTTTCACTGAACTCTCCAGCTGAGCCATCATTACTCTGAAGAAAACTGGAAATGTCTGCCTATGGAGAAAATGAAAAAACTGAAAGTCACCTCTGAGCATTTTGATAGGCTGTTTGTCACCAGGATGATACAGAAAACTCAAAGGTTGCCCAGCTGGGCATCCTTCTCAGTAGGAAATCACAGAAGATTGGCCCTAGGACTCATATGGGCCCTAGGCCCAGCCCAATTGCCCAGACAGATGGAGAATCCTGGGAAGTCTAGCACTAGCACTTCCTCAGTGTAAATGACACTTAGACACTGCCACTTCCTTGTAGCTGTAGGGTACACAGTGGAAGGACTGCAGCTCTCAGCATAAGATGATTTTGGAAGTTTCAGAGTGCAGGAACTTTCTTCATCCCTGCTTCCAAATTCTTATGCCGGGCAGAAGCACCCTGAGTGTGTTTTTGCACACTGCATACCAGCCCAGATTGCCTACAGCCACCCCAGGCCTCTGAGGCTGACTTTTGGATGCTTTATACCACCACAGTAGCACAGAGACAACACACTGATGACAGACAGCAGTTCATTCCCCAGTTAAAATGGCTCACAGCAACATCATGCTAAGCACAGGACATTCCACTTTGGCATAAAGCTACCCCATGCTACCTGTTGCATAGTGCCAAAACAATGTTTACAAGTGTCCAGAGTAGCCACCACAGTACCAACATGAAATCACAATAGGCCACAAAATAAGAAAACAGAATATTTAAAAGCAGAAATTATCATTATGTATATCACAGAATTCAAAGTTTCTATTGCTACAATTACCTGCTTAGGGTAGGATAAGTAGAAGAACATCCATCTTTGGCAGAGTTCATCAGTTCAGGAACACCAACACTGGAGATTTCCTCTATGGCTTTCAGGATGTTATCTGTGTGCTCCAGATAGACACTAAATCCAAAACCAACATAGCTGATCAGTAGATACTACACAGAATGACACAACAAGGCCTTGAACACTGCCTACCTGAAACATGTGGCCTAAAACTGTCAAGTTCTTCCCTGCCAAAAGCAATCACATGCAGGAAACCCAAGGCACTACTTAGAACTATGACAGTGATGTCATTAAAAGCTACCATGATCTGAAGCATACATGGATTCAGTATTCCCTCATTTTAGTATTTAGGAAGGAACGCTGGGAAGAAGATGAGATGGAATTGCCCTTTCTGAGAGAGAACACCCAATCAGTATGGGTGACACTGAAATGGCTGTCTGCTATAGGCAACCTGGATCAGGAACAAGCCAACAAACAGACAGCCACAAGTACCCCCATGTTGCAGGCCCTGATCCTCATGGCAGACTAGCCACTGGGACACCTGCTGGAAGGACAGCCCAGCAGGGCATAAGCAATCCAGGAGTCTCCTGGAGGCCATTGCTGAGAACTTCCTGACACAAGTGACAGAGGATGAGGAAGGGTGCTCAGCTGGGCCTCACACTTCAAACCATGAAAGAAATTGTGCTTTAGAAACAGTGTTGAAATAGGGCTTTAGGCCAAGCTGTGCAAACATGAGGGTTATGATTCAGAGGGGCCATTCCTCTGTAGCAACAGTAATCACTAAAAAACCAGAGTGTCTTGGTGTGCCTGAGGGAATAGCTTGAGCCTTACCAGAGCAGCGTGTGCAGGGCACTGTTGAACTGGCTGCCCTTCTCTCGGTCTCCACTGGGCTTCACCCAGGACTGGCAGAGGAACTGCTTTGCTAGAGAAGCTGGGAAACATATGAGATAACTTAGTGAAAGAAGAATAAAAAAAATTCCTTCTTCCATATAAAAGCTGCATGTTCAAATGATTTTTTGAAAGATCACAATATCACTACCCCTCATGTGCCTGACCTTTCTAAGACAGAATGCATTTTCCCTAAAAAAGCTGCAAGGCCACAAGGACATATGTCATGATAACAAAGTATTTGCACATCCAGCATGTTCCTGGTCTGGAATACCTGTTCACATCAGATCCATGACCCACCTCTGGCCACTTCTGACAAACTTAAGTTAAACCTTATTTGTTTGGCAGCTCCTACAGTGTGCCATCTATTTGTTTTTAATTAGGCCATATGCAACCCTTAGGGTATCCATTTCTAGAAATGGAGTTCCAATAAAAAGTGACTTGGCCTTTTGGCCACAGCACTATAGTAATAAATATGAGCAGACAAGTTTAAAGTCTACAGATTTCTGAAATCAAAACTGCTAACAAACCTGCTTGTCTCTTGCAGAAACACCTGGAAATGATTAATTAAAATAGGTTATTGCCTGCCACAGTCAATCGTTCTCCCACCGTGGGACTGTTTAAAATAGTAAAATTGTCTTTAAGGAGGGAAGTTACAATTCTGTGTGGCTATGGGGATTGGAGAAGGATAAATTCTAGAGGTGTCTTAGTATGACAAGGAATGGCTCAGAGAGGGAACTGTCTGTGGAGTCTTATTTCAGTGTATGCTGAAGTGGAGATCAAGTAGTTTTCTTGTATATTCCCTGCATTCATGTCTGTCCTTTATCTGCTGTTTATCTTACATAATGGGTCCTAATCTATGAGAGAAGCTTTCTTAACTGAAAACATTTGTTGTATGGCGTTAAGAATTTACAGGTTTTCCTCTCTCTGCTCTAGAGTAACAGCTGTATTTGCAGCTCATTTCCATAAATTTTGGAAACAAGCTGTCACAGACATCTGTACTTACAGCAGGAAGTTACATCAGATCAAGTCTGTGATCACTCACCTCCATAACCAATGATTAAACTGGTACCAGCACTGAACAGCAGGCTCATGCTCAGAACTCCTGAAAGCTCTGATTTTTAAAAACACCAGCTGAGAGAGCTGGAGTCTGCCTGTCTGCATGTGCCCGAGGCACAGCAGAGAACACATCAAAGAGGGTCCAATATATTTACTGCTGTTCCCTTTATTAATGGCTAGGGCTGTTCATCCACTAAGATTACCAGGATGTGAAAGGGAAAGCTCTCCCTTAAAAGATAAAGACCATGCAAAAACCTCATCTGAGATGAGTGACTCTTCACACATTACCCATTTTCTCCTTCTTCCAGCCAGCCACGGGTTTCTCAGCAATGGCAATCAGGAGCTGAGTGAGGATATAGGCACAGTGGAAGCTGGGAACACTCTGCTGGAAATTCAGGAGGTACTGAAAGCTCTCACTGGGGATGAGAGGAAAGGGAAAAGGTAAAAACAGTGCAGACAGGGTAATGTCTCAGACACACATAAAAAGGAAGCATTAGACTATCTCAGATCCAAGGTCTCCATATCCCAGTGTTATGTCTCAGGCAGTGCCCTTCTGAAGAAGGAGTGATCAGCCACTAATACATAGGAATTCAGTCACTGAAAAATTCTCTCAAGCCCCAGTCACTCTAAGTCTAGCAACAGCTTTATGTACTGCTTTTGCCTAGTGTACCTGTAAGCATTTTAACTCTCTAGAACATAGCCATTCCTTCTGTGAATCCCACTAATCCCCTTGTCTCAACAGCATACAAACAAACGAGATCCACAGATTCATGCATGTTTTACGTTTTTAATCCTTTAATGAGGTTTGACTACACTGCCATTCAATTAAATACAAAGCTCTGTTTGAAGTGAGTGTAGTCTCTATGAGAGCTCCTAAACACACGTTTACCCATAATGCCCACAAAAAACAGGGAAAAATCCCTGAAATTTGTTCATTTCAAACTTTGTGAAATAGAGATTCTACCTTATCAGTTCCTCAAGAAGAAGAAACTCTGTCTCTCCTGGCTTTAGCCTGTCTGCAAGCACCTGGAGAGCTGACCTCAGCAAGTCAGTATTTTCATGCTGAGAAAAACCATTCCTGAGGGGGGAAAAAAAACAGTTCATCATCAGATCAGAAGAGATATCAGATGCAAATGCATATCTAAGCCCATTTTGCAAGATGAAAAACAGAGAAGTTGGATACTCAAGACAAGTCCTGAAATATGAAAGTCATAAAGGGACACAAAAAATTGAAAATTCAATGGGAATGGAAAGCACTGAGCACAAACAATATCAGCTTTTCAGTTAGACTGCAGAACTAGCTTGGTGAGGATGGGCCATTTCCCATGAGTGGAGGTCCATACTAAGCCATTGCTATGCAGACCTAAACCAAAGGATGTATAATGACAGTGGCTGTGAAATGCAGTGATCATGGGCAGTCACCTCCTGCACAGCTGGTAGGAGCCTAACAGGGGGAAAACTCTAGAGATCTTAATTTATTTCTCTGAACTTCCAGTGTCTGTGAGGATATGTATGCTAGAAATAATCAAATATATCCACATGCCAATTCTACAGACTGAACAGGTAGACTTGATAATGCTAATGCTCAAGTGCACCTGTACCACACAAGTTAATTAACAATTGGTAACGTAAGAGGCCTTGACTAAACAAATGTAAAAAGAGCTGAAATTTGGTTGTTGAATTTTAGTGGCTGGACAGCTCACCCCAATATATATGGCTGTCTGACCTGCAGCAAAAAAGATTTTACACTGGACAGCAAAACTGATCTTGGGTTGTCTGGTATAAAATTGACCAGGTTATTTGATTTACAAGATAGGTAGACTCAGGAACAACAACATTCACACTGGCTAAAGAGGAAATGACAAATCTGGGAATGGTCAGGAGTGGATTGGGGGCCCTCAGGCTCCAGTAGAGGACAAGAAGAGGCCGACCTCAGACATCGCTTTTTATGCAGTTACTACTGGTTATAAAGTACAACAAAAGTAAAATGCTTTCCACACGCAAATCCAAATTGGAGTTTAGAAAGAAACTTTTATGATACTATCCTGGATTATGTTAGCAGATGCAGAAGTCTGCAGGCTGCACAAGCATTTCTGAGTTGGATATTTATGAATCCAGCTTGAATGCATCAACAGCATTGGCTTTTTGCCAGTGAAATACACATTCATCCTTTCCCACTGGCAAAAGAAATTCTTCCATCGCCCAGGATTCAGGCAGTGACAATTTAGCAAAGGATGAGGCAAAGGAAATGGGAAAGGATGGGTAAGAAAATCCAAGATCCCTAGGCAGACTGGAAATTGCACATCTGGGTGTGCCAATATGCCCCTTATGCTGACCTTGACCCAAAAGCCATTGACTGAATTCTACCCAGATCAGTGCTTTAGCACTGCTCAGAATCAGGCAATGAAGCCTGGCTTAACTAAGAAGTGCTTAGAAGCCTCCACCCACTGAAGCGGGTTGTTTTTCATGGGTGACAGGCCTTTGGCAGGGTGCAAACACTTTAAAGAAAAGAAACAAGAAGAAGCAGCAATAAATGGGTACACCTATGGACTTTTATTTTAAACTCACCAAGCAAATAAGCAGCGAAAAGTCAGTAACAGCAGTTGGTAGCAAGAGGACATCAGCTGGTGCTCCTGGATGTTCACTCCTGGTTCATCTTCTGCACCCTGAGCTTGTACAGCTGCCTTTAATGCAGATCAAATAATCCATTAAACACTATTCCAGACAAAGATAATGGCACAAGAATCCATTTTCATAAATTCCATGTTTAAAAAACCTGAAGAAAACAAAGTGACTCTTTTTCCCCCAAACAAAACGGGAAGTATCTTTACAGGAGACAAAACTTTAGGGTTTTTTTGGTCAAAATTGCTGTCCACTTACCTGGAAGTAGTTATGCATGTTCTCCATGTGTTTACACAATGGCTTGAGTAGATCAACCACACACATAGCAACTTCCTTGGGAGATCTCTGACACAGATGGGAAAAGCCAATATCCTTGTTGCCTCTTTCCTGCAGTAAACCCAAAAGATAAAAGTTGCTTCATTAGCCTCTCTTGAGAATAACTTCAATTGCTACATCTCAGACTGCTGCCAAGCAGTGCAATTCCTGATGCCATACAGGGTCAGGAAAGGTCACAGGGCAGGAAAGTTGGCTTCTGCTGAACAAGCACCACCAACTCAGACAAATGGATAACATTTGAATAAAAGGATAAAATTGATCTGACAGACAGCTCTCTTATAGAATCACTTAGGTTGGATCAGAGAATCCAACACTTTACTCAAACACTAAGAGAAGACAGTCTCTGCCTGTGGGAATTAAGATAGGCAGAAAGACAAGGAGAAAGAAAAATGAAGAGCTCAGCCAATTGCAGTGCATTTCTCAGTTTAATGAGAAACTTAACTTTCCTCCTGAAGGCATCAGCAAGGAGTCCCTACACTCAAGGGGGTTTCTAATGCAGAAAAAGCAGAAACATGGATGCAGCAGCTTCTGCCAGCTGCTGCAGCCATCTGGCCTGGCTAAATTTGAACAGCACAGCCAGTGTCTCCAGGGAGGGCTAGGAAAAGGGTCACTTGAGTTTTGAGGCTATAAGACTCCCTCAGTTAAACTCTTTCCTGAGACATGCAGAGAACCAGATGCTGCAAACACTTCAGCAAGAGCAGTGTACACAACACTGCTCTGGCACACAGCTGGGTGTCACACTTCCATTCAACTAACAAGTGAAAATAATTCTGAAAAACATTTCTCAGGAAAAGCCTGGAAGCCCCTGACGTGCTCTGCCTCAGCCCAGGCCTGGACCCACAGCCTGCTGCTGTTCTTGCCTTTGGAAAGGGCACCCTCCTTGTGGAGCCCGAGGGCAGCACATGTTCCAGCTTCCAGCACAGGTCATCCAGAAGGAAGCAAAGCTCAGCAGGCCCCAGCTGCACAACTTCACGAGCCTGCAATTAAAAGAACAGTCAATCCCAGGACCCAGATGTAACTGTAGTGCCTTGAAGCTCCAGTTTACCCTGTTTCCAGTTATGACTCCTGGACTAGGTTAACCTCAGGAGGGACTTATTTGGTAGATGCTTGGTTTTATGCTCCCCCATGGCAGGGATGGGGCATTGGTTCTGGTTGCTCAAAACATGAAGCCATCCCGATGCTCTAAACAGCTGAAGCAATGTCAGTACAACTTAACAACTGAGAAAGAACAGATTATATACATTGACATTGAAATAAGCTCCTAAAGATAAAAAGAGGTTTAAGTCCAGAGTCACAAAATTCACCAACTGAGTAACACTCAAGAAGTATTTTGAAATAATGCCACATAGCCCAAGAGACTTGTCAAACAGTCTTCCAGTTGGCCTGTGACCTGTATGCACAGAGACAGCTGCCATGGCCTTTTCCCATTTCATGCATTTACTGTAGCCTGACAAAATGAAACTCCAGATGGAGTCAGCCTGCCTGCAAAGGGATATTAACAAAATTAAGCACATCTATTTTTCACAGCCATAGCAATGCAGTTTCTACAAGCTCACAGATGATACACAGCACCCTGCTCACTGGGAGCACCTCCATGACTACAGTCCCATGTTTGTGCTGTTTGTGATCTCCTGATGCCTTGAGACACTTGAGTTTTTGCAATACAGGCTTTACTTTATGTCATAGATTCTTTTTGACAGGCAATACTTAGTGTATTTACCATCCTGTATCTTACCTGTGCTCAATATTAAAGCACCTTTCTTTCCATTAGGTCTATACATGTTATACAGTATCTTTCACCTTTTATGCAATATTTACCTTAGTTTGTTTTTAACATTACTATATTGACATGTCTTTTCTCAGGAAAGTCCTCTTTCTCTCAGTGCCTTGAAGTACTTGGGACCAAATGCTCTCCTGGTCCCCAGCTCACAGCCCTGGGCCAACTCATCTTAACACCAACCTGCTGTGCACTTCAGTGGAACAGGGACGGCCAAGGCCCCTGAGAGAGGCCATTCCACAAAGCCTCATCAGTGTGGGTTTCAGGCTGCTCCACTCACCTCTGTGTGCATCTCTGTGTCCAGGACAGACTTTGTGAGCAGCCCACAGTGCAGCACAGTGAACACCTCGAGGTCCAGCTCTCGGAAGTACGGGCGATAGCTCTGCAGCTGTGCCAGAGGACTTTCTGCCTCTCTGTCAGCACCAGTCTGAAAAGGAAATTGCAGGAGAGTGGCCACTGCAGGGATAATTCACAAAATCCTGATGGAAGGCAGGTGCCAGAAAGCAGAACTGAACCACTGACTTGTGATTAACTTTGGAATGAACAACCCCTCTCTCAAAGCTTTTGTTTATGCTTCCTTGGCATCTTCTCTGTTCTGGCTTCCTTGCAAGTCCCCAGGGCTGCACACCTACCTTGTCCAGCTCAGAGAGCTCAGTATCAGGCTGGTTTCCCTCAGAACTGTCTTCTGCTTGAGAACGATCTGCAGAGCCAGCTTTGCTGCCATCAGCCTTCTTTTTCCTTCCTTGAACAGAAAAGCAACTTCAGAATCAAGGGCTACACACTGTGCTCAGCACTAGACAGCACTTGCAGCCAGCACAGGCTGGACTTTAATCAGCACTAAGAAAGCATGGAGCACAGGTCCATAGATGAAGTGCTCCTTCAAAATACAGTATCTAAAGTGATGGATCCTCCTCTTGTCAAAACTTTCCTTCTGCCTCCAACATGCTGCTCCATAACAGGCCCAGACCCTGCACAATGGGTTTGGCATAGGAGGGAAAGGCATTCTGATCTGTGGCCTCCTCCAGTTGTTCTCATTGAATGGAATGTGAATTTTTGTCCACTTTGGCTTAAGGCAGACATGTTCCCAGGAAATGCTAATCTAAACTAGAAATAAATCTAATCTAGAATCAGAACTAGAGACAGGAAAAACAAAGAAAATCTGATTCAGCCTGAAAACTGAGAGGCAAGTTCTGTGTCTTCTCTGTGGGAGCTAGCAATGGGAAAGGATGAAGGAAAGATTTCCTTGTGCAGCAGAGCCATGACAAGGTTCCCAGGACACTGGTTAGGTACAACCTAAAGCTCAGGGGTTTACAAGGCAGCTCAAGCCACAGATTCAGTACCAGATGATGCCACAAACCCATCAAAGACAGAACTTGCTGCTGCAGAAAGTACTTTGGCAGGTGAAAGCAATCAATGAAAGCCCTGGATTTTCACTGTTAAATGCTATGTAGCAGCTTTCCCAAGGAGACAGACTATCCAACACCTGTTTGCTGTAGGACATTTTTCCATCTCCACTTCAGCTGCAACAGGAGCTGATGAGATAAGTTTTCCAGCTAGATAGACTTTGCCAAGAATTTAGTGCTTTAGGCACACACAAGTGCAACCTGCCAGCCAACCCCCATCACATCTGTTTGCTTAAACATTTTAAATTTTCTTTACCACTCCTTTTCCTGGCTGGACCAGCAGCATTAATGGATGGTGCAGCCTCCAGGGCCTCAGAGTCAAAAGTAGCTGGTGGTGGGACATAGCCAGGGGTTGCTGAAAGAGCCAAAATGTAGAAATTGGGTTAATTCAGCTCCTGAATGACAACACACAGGCCAGATACATATCTAAAGGAAGTATCATAAATTTCACAGTCCTGGTGAAAGTGTGGAGTGGTGAGATAAGTGTAAGAATTTGTGTACCTGCTAATGACCAGTGAGCTGGAATAGCAGTGAGTAGGGGAGCAGTGGAGCAGATCAGAGTGCCTGGGATCTGGGCAGGCTACTGGGAGATGGACAAGAGGTGTCAGTACTTGGGGGATCTGCTGAAGTTTGTGTGCTTGTGACTCTAGAATGTGTAACTTGTGTGCTCCTCACTGAAGGAGTGATTAAGAAGAGCAGTTTGGATTTGGACAAATTGAAAATTATATCTGTTCAGGCACAAACTTTTAAAACTGTAAAACTGCAGTGTGTGTTACCATTTGTTTCCTCCATTGATGTCTAAGGCAACCCCTTTCACTTCACAGCTGGTACAGGCCCAGAATATACAAATGTTTCATACTCACCTGCCAAGCATTTTCCCAGCACATTCTGCAGCTCTGTGATGTTCTGTAATCGAGTTAAAACTTTCCCCTTCATCTCAGCATCCTGTTGCTGGCAGAAGGCATTTACAACCTAGAGATACAAACCAAGCTCACTGAATTAGGGAGATATGTACCCACTTTGTTACTTTTTCTTTTCTGAATAACATTCTCAAGTCCTGAATAAATATACAACATAGCACAGCCTGGCATGTGTGACCAGGTTCAGACTGCATGAACAAAACTCTTCAGAAGTCCATGAGAACATGGATACAATTGGGGCAATCTAAAAAAAGCAAGAGGACAACACCTATAGATAAAATATTAATTGAGGAATTAAGAGAGGAATTAGCAGACAGCACATTGTCAGGTTCTATGATAGCTGTGGCTCTGAAGATCCCTTGGCACTTCCAGGTCTGCCAGGAAAGAGGATGTCCTGGGAGAAGACCAGGACTGGGAATGTGGAATTGCACCAAATCTGCCCTTCTCATGTTATCAGAATAACCTCAGCAGGAAAAATCCCACTGACCAATACACTGTCCAAATCTTCTTGAAGGCACTGCATTTTACTCTCCTGTCAGCTCACAGAGGTACAGAACAGAGAGCACAGAGCACCCCAAGAAAGGAGATTCTACAGCCTCTCTGAAAGTGGAGCACAACCTTTCTGTTAGGTAACAAAGACCACAGTAAAAGACCACAACATTCCCTCCCCTCCAGCTTCCCCTTTCCTGGCTGACCAACCTCTGCTCTCCTAGGCTTCCCTCATCCCTCCACTCCAGAACCTGCAGACAAAGCTCTACTCACTTCACGAAACCAGTTGAGAGCATAGAACAGGAGTGAGCACAGAAATTCACGCTCCTGCTTGGACAGAGAGTCCAGCTTCCCCTCAACCTCCAGGTCAGTCAGGTACAGGGGACAACCTGGCACAGAGCAAGAAAAGTATAGGTTGAACTGTGTGCTACCCATGCTTTGGTCTTTGCATTTACCAAGTCTCTTACCAAAGCCTGCATCAATTCCAGTGGCTGTTTGGAGTAAGGCCCATCAGCCACTCCATCCCCAGACAGAGCAACTGTCTCCCCTGCCTCCCTCCCTTCCACTTTGTGGGCACAGAGCATCTCAGGCTCCTCACAAAATGCACAACCCCTCCTGCAGCTGGAGGAAGTCTGTGCAGATCTGGCACAGGAACAAGGCAGGCAGCCAGGCTTTATAAAAAGTCCATTTCCCATACCTAGTAAGGCATCAATATCCTCCAGGCTTCCACTGTTCTGCTCTGCAGTGTAGAGCCTCAGCAACCGGAAACAGGGTGACAGACACAGGGGTGACACTGCCCTGGGGGAAAAAGAAATGAGTGGGTCTGATGTTTTATCTATCTCCAGAATGCCCATCACTTTTCCATTATGTCCTGTGTCCTTGCCAGGACACTTTGCCTATGCCTTCTGTTTTGCTGCCTGCAAGCCCCAGCAACACAGAGCAGAAATGCACCATGTGGGTTAGGAAAAAATAGCTGGTGATTACTACTGTTCTGGAAAATCATGTAAAGGTTGAAAAATGGCTGCAATGAAAAAAAATTGGGTCAGATTTACTTCTGGTGGAAATCAAATTAGACTAATTCAGAAGGAACTGCAAGAAATTGTGCATAACATTTATAAGCAGTGGAGACACCTCCTTCAATGTTTCACAGTGTGCTACTGCTCCAATTCTGAATGATGAAAATTAACATTTTTCCATAGATGCATGCAAAGTAGCTATATTTTCTCTCATTTTAAAATGATTATGTATTTTTTAAAGAACAACTAAAATCTCAACAAAATTTTATGACAGCAAATCCCAAACTCATCCTGTTATAAAGAAAGGAAAAAAAAAAACTTGCTCAGCAAAGGGGCTCAGTGAAGAAAGCTCCAACAGCAGCAGTGGAAGATGCAGAAGATAAGGCCAAGCAAAAGTATCCTGGAACCATCACAGTAATGAAGCCCCATGGCCTGCAAGGAGAGCCAAGGGCTGCCTTTAGAGACAGAGCCAGGAAACATTGCTAAGTGTGCACAACCAATTTCTTCCCTGCTCTTTGGATGGGGGCTTGACTACAAGTTCCAGAGTGATGCACAGAGGAAGAGCAGCTGGCTGGAAGAGGAAAGCAGCCCACATGTAAAAGGAGTTTCCAGCAGGAAGAAAGCTGTCCAGTGGCCTTCACAAACCTCTTCCTATCACCATAAATACAATTTATTTATTTATTTATTTATTACCATTCATGACTGTGGCTTTCCCAAGATCTTAGGGATCAGATAATCCTAATAGTCTGACCCAGAAACCAATTTCTATATTAAGTTTAAGGTTCTTTCAGATTCTATTTTTGTCTATGAAGAGGAACAGCATGCTCTGAAATGTCACTTAATTTCCTTTAAAAGGCTTCCCTGTTGTCACGTAAAATTCCACAAAAAAGAAGCTGTTAAAGCACATGAGCACATTCCTGTTAATGAGGAATCTGCCACAATCAAAAAAAAAAGCCAAGAAAGCTAAATGAGGATTTTGTATCTGACCAATATTTCACAGAACAAAACAAGTTCCCAGACTAGAGTGAAATCCTGAAATTGACTCTATCTTGCCAATGTTTGAAAAACAACATTTTTCCTGAAGAATTCATCTAAGTGATTAAATTCAAATTGCTCTGCAACGTACGAGGAGCTGCAAGTCCAAATTGCCCTTCTGCTTCTCAATCAAACTGGCAAATTCATCGTAGTACAGAGCCAAGACCTCTGGTGTTTGCTCACAGCAGAAGCGCACCAGGTCCAGCAGGGTAGACAGCTGAAAGGAGAGAAAACAGTGCAGAAATGGGTAAGGCAAATGGATCCAACTCAAGCTTTTACCTTCAGTCCTTTTTACATTAATTTATTGTGAGGCATATTCAAAGCTTCATCTCTAGAGTAACAACCCATGGTGAATATTCTTGAACAGACACAGATTTAAGAAGGAACATGGGCCTTTTAGTGTCCTCTGCCATGAAATAACAGAGTCTGCCCAGGATCACTCTTAAATAGACTGCCAGCAGAGAAGAAACTAAGAAACTAACTCTTTGACAGAAACTAAGGAAAAAGGCTGCTAGGCCAATCCTGTGCAGAAGAACTTTCTCTGGATGGCCCGAAAGGCACAGCTACCAAAGCTGAGAGGATGGGCATGGCCACCTTTGGCTCACTGAAGCAGATTGTCCTGCTTCTTTCCTTTGTATTTGAAATAATAACTTGACAGAAGACTTTCACTAAATGGCTGCAGTGCTGCTTGTTCTGGTGTAGCAGAGGCAACACCAGCAGGCACCTTTGTTTCTCCAAAACCATTTTTAATAGACTCTTGGCTCTGCAGTTCAATGTACAAGCTTCCCAGGCTCAGGAAAGCCAGCTCCCAGACCCACACAGTACTTCAGCTAAGACTGCATTTCCAGTCACCCCTCCTTGCTGACCATATCCTCCCTGTGTCCTGCACTGCCTTGTTCTTGGCACTCACCTGCTCATCACGCTCACTGTTCAGCTCTGGTCTCTCCAGTGAAGCAGCATCTCCTTCATTCCTGGAAGCAATTGAAAACCTTGCTGTTGTGGCACAGGGCTCAAGAGACAGCAAAACCCATCACACACACATGGGTCTCTCTCCAGAAATCGGAGAATAACACATTAAAAAGATTTCTTTGGTACATATTAGGAAAGGACCTGGTGCTGTTTGGGACTTCTCTTTTAGACTTCCCTGGACTCAAACACAGAGCACCTCAGGTTATTCAGCCTAGAGTCAGAAGCTGATCTGTAGTCAGTCTGCCAGTGTTCAATTTTTTTCCAAGCAACAGGTCGTGCAGTGTGGTCAAGGGATCCACAAATAGGCATTAGTAAGGAATTTGGGATGCCTTTGAGACCTGCAGCAGGTGAGCAGCACTGCACAGGCTGAAATACCAAACACCACAGTATGCAAGAGAGTTTTAAGTTCCTGGATTTGCCCAAGATGTGCATGAACTCAAAGGCAATGCCCTCCTGTCTTTGCTTCACTCCAGGCCTGAACTGAAAGCCATATTTAATTCATCTTTTCTATATTTTCTCTTACCTTTTTAATGCCACGCTGCCTATCATGGAAACAGCACCAATAATCCCCATTTGCTTGTGGTTGGGAACCGTGCTGGAGAGCCATTTCCTGATCACCATGTGCATATCATCCTGAAAAGAGACACAGACCATGTCACCACAGAGCTACTTGTGTGCATCACTCAGTTCTATTGCCATCTTCATTTAATGTCATCTCTAGGGGCTACAGGGGGATGGTGTACTAGGATTTTTGCTTAAGAAATGCACATTCTGATGTTTCATTTACTATGAAAATACTGGTCCCAAGTCCAAGTAAGGTTGTAAGCAGCATTAAAAGTGATTTGGTTTGACTTTGCTCTAACTACTACACAGAACTACAACACAGACACCATTGGTCCAGGTTTCAACTATAATTAATAGAACAGTATGTCAAAAAAAACAGCAGATGGTCTCAGAGCTGTCACACCCAAACAGCTGCAGAGCTGCACCTCAAAACCCTGTCAACTTCAGGAGGCTGAGGGATGGAGCAGTTTGTGGTGAAGGTCCAAAGACAATCTGTACAGTGCAAGGAAAAATTCCTCATCTACCTGCACAGATCCTCATGTCTAAGAGACATCAGCTTAGAAGAACACTTAGAGAAGGCAAAGAAGAAGTTGGCTCTCATGATACTGCTTTCTTTGGTGACCTACCCCTGGAATCTTCAGTATCACTGAGGATAAGAGTCAAACTGCTAAACTTGGATCTCCAGTTATAAACTCTCAGCTCAAAATAAATTCTAGACACTCCTCCCCTTCTTTTCACAACTTCTGAGGGTGACAGGCAGAACATCCTGATGGCAAGTCCTATTGGGCTGCAGTCACACTGTGTTGCCAAGGCAATTTTCACAAGTCACACGTAAGACTCAGGGTGGGAGGTGGGGAAATCACTTTCAGAAAGGAGCTAAACCTGCCAAACAACTGGGAATTTTGGCAGTGAAGAGCTCCAATTTAACAGGGTGAGTGGGAAGGACAAAATGGCTGTAGACATGCTGTTTTACATGCCACAGACCAATCAGAAGGAGAGGAAGAGCGGTTTTCCTTTATAGGCTCAAGTTAGCATGTGCAAACATACCTACAACTAGAAAGGGACTCAAAGAAAGACAAATAGTCCTAATTTCTAAGAGCTGAACTTTATGAATGGGCAGATTTTTAAACCCCAACATCTCTGCTGTAGAATAAGTATCTTTGAATTATTTCTTTATCTGCTATGCTCAAGGATTCAGAAATCCAGACAAAGGTACCACCACTGATATGCTGCAGCTGAGTCACACAAGGTATCCTGTGCAAGATGAAGGTGGATTTAGACAAACCAGGTTTGACAGGTTTGTTAAACCAGAGGCACAAGAGGTGTGGAGTCTACTGTAGTACTCTGCTCTGTGCAGTTCAGTTCTCCTAACAAGAGAGTCTTTGTTGTCTCTGGTGTGCAGAATTTAAGTGGCTGAATCAATACAAACATCTCGGGGAGAAAGCTGAACTGTGCTTTCTGAAGGCTTCCAAGTGATGGAGAAACAGAGCTGTGCAAGGAGGCTGCTGAATTTACACTTTTGCAAGCCTTCAAGGCTCAGCTAGACAAAGCAACAATCAACATGACACCATGCTGGTGACAGTCCCACTCTGACTGGGAGGTTAGGTTAGGGACTACCATCAGTATCCTTCCAACAACGTGTCTAACAACTCTGCCCTTCTCAAATGTGCAATAGAAGGGGATCTTTCTGGGAAAGATGAGAGGCACAGTCACCGTGACAAGCCCTTGACATCAGGGTGAGAAGTCTAGAGCCACAAGGTGGTTTGCAGACACTTTGGGAGAAGAGGATTTTAAGCTCAAGGCTATCCTGACATCAATCCCTGTTCAGAGATGATGCCAGTATTTAGTTAACTTAGCAGAAGAACCAAGGCACAGATTGAACAACTTTCTGTTGTGTCTCTGCTTACCTGAATGTAGCTCCCTTCTTGCTTCTGGCTGAATGCTAAAGTGCTGAGGATGTAGAAAAGCTTCCGGATCTGGCATGGATTCAGTTTCTGTGTAGAGTCTAAAATGGTCTGTAAGAGAAGCCACAAACTAGCTCAGGATATCAAGAATCCCTTTCCATATTCTCAAAAACACATTAATTGTCAACCTCAGGGAAGATAATTAACTTTACCTTTTTTGTACATGCATGAAAAAGCTACATTCAAATTAACCAAACATAAATGCCAGATTATTGCTCTGGCCTTAATTATGGGATTTCATTTTATCAGAGGCTGAATGGGAAGAATAATTTGGAAACCATAAGCATTTTGGGAGTGCTCAGGACAAGTGACAGCTGTCTGTTTCCTATCACAGGTTTGGTCACAGGATTCAAAGTATTTGATAAGCAAGTAATTAAGCAAGTACTTTTCATTTAACAATCAACCAACTAAACAGCAAAAAGTATACAGCTTTCCCACAGTGTAAAATTAAATCACCAGGAGCACCAAAATATCAGAGAGGAGTGGGAATATCCACACCCACCTTCTTCAAGAGCTCTTAAATACAAGCTGCCCTTAAGCTACAAGCCACCACAGATGGGGGACTGTTCAAGGAAAGTACAGTTACATGCTTGCCTGGCTGTTTAGCCCCTCCCTCAATCTTCACTTTTACTACCTTTAGAAATAGGCAGCTGGGCAGGTCTGACCCTGCTCATCATTCTTAGAATTCAGTAGTCCGTATTTTTTCTCCCTTTCTTCTTTTAAATTTTAGGATATGTCTTTTTCCATCTCTACAAGCAATTTTGTCCTCTACAAGCAATTTTGTCTTAGGACTGGCTGGAGTACTGTCAGTCTTTCAATAGACAGAATGCACAGTCCACAAAGGGGGCAGGTTTTTGCCAAGTTTTGAAATAGTTCATGTAAATAAAAACAGCATTTCCATTGTAGGCACCATTCCATGCCTGCAATTTAGGCATTGTCCAGCTAAAGGGAATTGTCTATCTCAATTTCCCCTGTCAAAAAAATAATACAATCCTATCTTACAGCTCACACTTTGACAGCAGTTACCTTTCACTTCTGACCACTGCCTTTCTCCAGGCAGAAAAGCTTTACAGGTACAAGTTTTTCCAGTACATCTATTTTGCAGAAGTACAGGCCTATTCTGGATCTGAGGCAAGTGGTGTAAGGGCCCCAAAATCTAGTATAAACCCAGAAATGCACCCACCTTCACAAAGGTGGCATAGCGCATCAGCAGGGACGTGTGCAGCACCACCAAATCCGTGAGCACATCCAGAGAAATGTCCAGCTCTGTCTCACTTCCACTGCACACGTGAGTCACCAAAGCAGTCACAACCTCCTAAGGAAAAAGCCACCAAAAGAACCACAGTGAAATATCAACAGAAAAATGTCTGCCTTGCTCTGCTCATATGAACTATGTTGATCAAATACAGATAATCACAGCAGTCTTTGTGCTTGAAGTCACTTGCTACCAGTCCTGCTGTGATTGTTCCCCATCTTCTTCTTGGCCTACTCTTTGGCACAGACCTCTCTCCAAAGGCTTCCTACTGCCTGAAACCCTGTCCCCTAAAGGATCATGACATACACTCTAGAACAAAGTGCAAACCTAAACAAAACAGCTGCCATCCATCACACTGTACCTGCTGGCAGTAGGAGTCAAAGGCTGCAAAAGCTTGTTTATACATGCAGCTGCCAAAGGAGACCACAGCTGGGTGTGCTGAGTGCAGAAATGTCTGAGCAAGGGCTAGGATTGAAGGGAAGAAGTCTTTGATAACCTGGAATACAGACATCATGAAAGAAGAGATTACTGTTGCTTGTTTTCAACATATCCAATGCTGAGGAAAGCTCAACTCCAAAAAAACACATGACAGTTACAACAGAGGACATGTGCAATGGGACACTGATCTGGACAAAAAATTATAAAAGAGAAGTACATGAACATTACTGGAAAGGTACAAATAATGCAGCACAGGGCTAAATCATCATCTGACAAGATCTTTGAGAGATAAAAGAGAGAGTCCCAAAGCAGGATCAGCACTGACCGTTGAATGGTTTTGGAAGGCGTTCTGCATCAGCTGTTCTGGCATGCAGCCTAATCGGATTTTGCTTCTCAAAACTTTCTCAGTTTGCTTCCTGTTCCTGGTGTTTGTAGAATGGATTAGCAGCAAAACTATCAGATCCAGAACCTTTTAGAGGAAATAACCACCACTCATTATGCTGAAATATCAAACAGTCCAGATAACTCCAAGTCAAAACTTGAAGTCTGAACTGAGAAGAAAAGAAGAGCTCAAAGTCACAAGAGTCACTGAAATAAAACCTCATGAGTACAACAGGACAGAATTATAGCAGGATAACTCTGTCCCTTAACAGAAGGGGCGGAGATGAACCTGAAGGAAGGGATGAACCAAAAGTTACAAAGAAAATGGATGGTTGTTATACTTGGAACAAGTCCAATACCAAGAGAACCATCCATGAAACATCACTGGCAAGTTTCTGGTCCAAATTCAAAAATCTCTTAATCTACAATCATGAAGAAAGCCCTTGAGAAACCAAGAGAAGAGGACACTTACAGAACAGAACTATTACCTTATGGTCAGACACAGATGTGCAGTTCTCAATAGCCTGAGAGAAAAAAAAAACCAAGCAAGCTGTTAGGCTACAGTACAATACTATATTCCAAAACCAAATCAAAAAAGGTAGACACCAAAAGCCTGTGACACCTTGCTCACAAATTTCTCTCCTCTACAGCAGGATACCCATCAAAGTCAGCAAACTGGATCTTGCCAACAACAGAGAATCCAGAAGGTATTAAAAAAGTAGCTGAAAACTGAGTTTGAACAAGGATGTTCTCAAATAACATGAGGCTTGAGAAAGGAACTGAGGTACTGAGGAATGAGGACAAGAAACAGCCTCATGGTTTACACTGAAATACAATTTAAAATTAAATTTAGCCTAATACCAGCTGATAATGATTTCTAGCAGGACATTTTCAAGCACCTTAAGGCTTCACATAGCTAAGTCTCATTTGGGAATACATTTTTCCTGTCTTGCAGAATGAAATGTGTATCAGTAAAATTAAGTGCTAACATTTGTCTTTTAATACCACATTTGATGATAAGAAAGGCTCAGACTCAATCAAGAAGCCCAAAGAAATAAGGAAACAAGGACTGAAGCATGTATCTTACCTTAATCCATGCTTCAGAGACATCTTTCTGAAATCTCACAGCTAACTTAATGACATCAAAAAGTAGCTTCACACAGTTCTGGCTGGTGGTTACTTGGCTCAGGGAAGAACTGCAAATCATCACAAAAGAGGAGACTCAGTCCCTGCAAATACTGTCACAGAAGGAGCAAGGCAACCCAGCAGTCACAGCAGTTACTTAAAGCAGCCATTGTCCAGAGGGAATGCTCTGGCAAGGATAGGGAGTTTCCCAAGAGGGAACAGAATCAACGGAAAAAACAGAGGTCACAGAATCAATGGAAAACATACTGCAGGGAACTTAGAACAGATAAACTGGTAGCAACATTATTATAAATGAAGTTGCTTATCCCCATGCAGACATGGAGGCAGATGGCTCAAAAGGAACTACATCCATGGCAGGGGAAGCTGGCTGGGCAAGGAGTGACAAATGTATTGCATTAGTACCAAGGAGGAAGGAACAAAGGTGTCTGTGCCTTTCCACAGGATAAATGAGGTTCGTGTATGTAGCCAGTTGTGCCAGAGAGACCAGAAGAGGAACAGTTTAATTCTCTTGTCTCATCCTACCCTTGGAGAATCAAGTAAACTTGTTTAAGTACCTGGTCTGGACTTGGCTTTTAATCTTCTTCTGGGAATTGTGAATCTGCAGGGGCAGAACACACGAGGACAGATCCAAGCTCTTACGAAGATCAGAAATCACCTGTAAAGCACAAATCCATGCACAAATCACTGTGACAAATGAGGGAAGAACAGAAAAAGCTGTATAAAATGAGGAAAATAAAACAATTTCCCATAATAACCCTAAAATTACAAATCAAAACTCATGTATTTGTAAAGACTCACAAGTATTTAATCATGCCCAAATTTAATTTTTTTAACTTAGAAAATGAACTAGCAATACTTTTCTCTTCACCTGTATGTCATACAAAAGATAAGATTTTTTAAGACCTACTCTGTGAAATTCCCACCTATATCTGCTTTACATTGCTGTGAACTGCTTTTATTCTGTTTAGCAGCTGAGCAAGACACATGACAGCCTCAGGAATTCTGGGACATGCAAGTTTACCAATGTGACTGCTGTTCAAATGCAGTGTACTGGCACAGACTGGCTCCCATGTCATAGGCACACTTTTTTACAGGGGTCTCCCTGAAAGGTTTGGGCAGATCACAAACCTCATTTGGCTTAGGCTGAGGTTTCCTCAACATATGAAACAAAGTGTGTTTGATGGCCCAGCAAGGCTGCCTTTGATCCCTAGTAATATTAAAATTTTACTTGGAAACATTAAAAACACACAGCTCTGTATGTGAAGCAACTCCCCTCTGTTAAAACACACACTGGTGTAGAAAATACACACTTCATTATGAAAAAGATACTGCACCTCTACTGCATCTGCTGCCTTGACATTTTGGAGGATGAATTTTACTACTACAGGCAAATCTTCCAGTTTTACAGAAGGCACAATGGTCATGGCAGACTGTCGCACCTGAGGAGAGAGCAAGACTCCATCAGCTGGAAGACAACACTTCACAGAAACATAGTTGTGCTAGTGGGAAGGAATCCTTGGAGAATTACAGTCCAGCCTTCTGCTCAGAGCAGGAATATTGTCAGTACCAGATCAGATTCACCTTGGCTTTGCTGAGTCTTGAAGGATGGAGGAAACCTCCAATCTCTGCCACCTTTTTGATAATTTATGTCAATGCTGCAGACCCTAACTTGTTTTTCCAAACATCCAACCTAAACCTCTTGTTTTGGCCACTGCCCATTATCACTCTTCAACATGAAGAGCTTGGCTCCACCATTTTGTAACTGGCTTTCAAAAAGGAAAAGCATGGAGGATGTGCAGCCTGCTATGCAGCACCAGCCTTTTGGGACTATGTAAAACACTATTTATGCACTCAAATGAACTGATTTTATTTTATTCATACGAAGACCAACTCCAAAAAGTGCAGCAATGCAACATATCCAAAAGGCACAAGGCACGTCATCATCTATTCTCCTTTCTCACCACTCTGCAGAGAAAACCTATTTAATTATTTAATCACCAATCTGCCTTTCCTTAGAATATAACAGTCTAGTTGGTCACTGTACTTAAAAAAAGAGGAAATATTGACAATAAGGTTTAAGACAGGCAGCAAAAAATTACTGCAGATGGACAAAGTGCTTCTGCATTTGCTAACACAGCTGTGATTGGAATTCCTGGCTGTTACAGTAGGAATTCAGAAAACTTCTCTCTGCTGTTCCTGAACCCCTCATACATGATTCAAAAACCAGCTTTAGCTTCTGACCTCTTTCCAACTTCAGGAGCTCAGGACTTTTGAAAGTCCCACAGGAGTCAGATTTAGCAAAATACTGGGAAGGAAGAAACAGTTCCAGCTCTCGTGTTGCTAAGCAGGGGCTGGGGTCTGCTGAAGTGCTCAGTAAAAGCTCTCACCTCAGCCACAAGCTCTGCATCAAGATCCAGACGAGAAAGAGCATCCAGGATTGGCACTGTCAGCCGTCTGCCCTGCTTCAGCAAGCAGCTGATACACAGGGAAAAGAAAACAAAGGGTCCTCTTAACAAAACCAAGAAGGTATTTTTAGTGTATTGTATGATTCCAGTAGTTTTTGTGGTCACTGCAAAAAAAAAATATCTCTGACAACAACATATGCCACTGGCATTATGGCAAACTTGTTCTCTAAATTATTACTCCTCATGTAAGAACTGCACCTGTCTTTAACAGCCTGATGGACTTTCCCAAAACTCATGTAATCATTCTTGGCTGACATCACAGTTTCTTACAAACTTTCTCTAGTAAGAAGTTGTACTTAAATTTTGTTAGTTGAAAAACAGCTCATCTGCAGCATCCTGGTAACTCTGTCTGTGCTCCCTAACTCATTAGAAGTAATGAATTGTTTTCTGCATCAGAAATGGGTAGAGGCTATAGAGAATAAGGAAATAAGTATGCCTTGTGGACACTGTTTGGATCTCAGCTTTCAAAATACACAAACAGAGAAAAGAGAAGTCTGAGGAGTTTGATTAGCATAGGAAAAATGTGTGGAGTTTTTTTATCTAGAAGCTGAGGCAATAAACTGAAAATGAAGAAAAAAATCACAATTTGAGAGGGTACAAGGAATAGGATGCACTGCTTGCAGTAATAATCTGCAACAGTGATCACAGGTTTGAAAAGGTAATTGACACCAGCATAAATGTAAGTGATCTGTGCAATAATAAGAATTATAAACACTTAGACTACTCAAATTATGGTGTAAAATGAATACATTATTTAAAAAGACAGATGCAAAGACTAGCCTATGGCAGTTCTCCCTGGGAGGGTAACTCTTGGCATTAGGTTCCCCAGTACCTAATGGATCAGTAAATATGCTTGAGAAAAGTACATAAAATAGCCAGAAAGTTCTGTTTCAGGCACACATTTAGTGTGTTGTGGGTCTGGGGTTTTCTTTATTAATAAAAACCATGTTGATCCTTACCACAGCAGAATCCAAGGCAAATCAGAAGTTGTCAGTAGTAATATCCAAGTGACTGATCATAGACTATCCAGCAGAAGTAGTGAGTACTTAACCTGTGCTGTCTCCAGGTAGTCAAGACTTTAATAATAATTTAGATAAAAGCAGTTTTGGAGCATTGTCTAAACGCAGTGTCTTCTTCTGGATTGCCTAAGCTCTCTTTAGGAGCATAACAGTACAAATGGAATGTCCTAAGACAGTGGTAGCTGTCCCCAGATGCTGCAGTTAACAGGAACACAGTGCTGTCCTAATACTTCAGTCAGCCTCAGGGCAACCTGCATTAATGCATCTTGTCCTTTTCTGCTAAGTGCAAGGGGGAAAAAACAAAACAAAACAAACCCTCCCAACCAAAACCATCCATACCTGAGCTCTCTGGCAACCTCACTTTGCTGGGAATCCTCCAGGATCTCAGGTAAACTGGTGATAATATCATGCTGGATTGGTACTGGAGAGACACTAACCATCTGCATTAACTTCCTGACCAGATCCTGCAGACAAGAGGAGCACTGGTGAAATGCACAAATCTCTCAGCACAACAATATTATGCATCTAAGGTCCCTCAGTGCAACATCTGCCTGAGTTTGTGCCAACTGTCCCTTAACTCATTGTCCTGCTGACATCATGAAGCAGAATATAGATTTTTGCGGAACAATGATATTTTATAGCTAGGATATAATGAACTTGATGAGCAGAGGAAACTGGGAAACACAACAAGCTTCCCAGTGTTTAGTACTCCAGTAGAGAGTAACCCACAGAGACCAACTGACTTAGGGAAAGAAGGAAAAGAATCACCAGAGCAGGAACAGAGAATTTATCCACACACACTTGCAAGTATTCAGTACCTTGTTAAAATTAAACAAGAGGGGATTGTAACTTCCTGCCAACAACAGCTTTAAAATGGGGTCATCTGTGTGAATACACATGCACAGATATAAATTTATGTAAAAGAAGACTTAGAGCAAGGAAAAAAGAAAAATACTAAAAGATGTTCAGATGTCACTCAAGGCAAACATAACAAAACAGAAAAATATTAAATTACTCCTTCAGCATGTGAATACAAAAACAACATCAGTTCTCATCAGCACAATAATTCAATCTAATCCCACCTGAGAGGCATTCCAGAAGCAGTTTGGAAAAAACATCCATGTGATTGCACCTCTGGCACCCACCTGGCTGTCAAGGAGCCTGTCAAGCCACTTAAACTGATTGATGATGAGCCGGGGGAAATTTGTTCCAAAGGTGCCCACACTGAAACAGCAGGAAAGGACACACAGCTTAGTCAGACCTACAGACTCCAGAGCTCTGCTGCTGCTCAGCAACACCAACTTACCCCATTCTTAACTGGTCACTAACACATAGAAAGAACTTCACTCTTCTTACAGTTTGACAGGAGACAAGTGTAACAATATCCATTTTTCAGAATTCCCAAAGGATTCACAGCACAATTAACAGCTTATCACTTTTACATCCATGATCCTTTAGAATTCTTGGGTGAAAACAGCTCAGACTTTGTGACTGTCTATGTTAAACCCTCCTCAAACAAGATTTCAGTCTGAGACAATTTCTGGGACTACATCCCTATGCAGTATTTGTATCCTGTATTTCAGCACTGGAACAAAAACTGCAGCAGGAACAGCCTCAGCTTCTTTCTGCCCCTTGGCCTGCCCCACTAACTCTGCAGTGAGCATCTAGGCACAGGAAGAAGAGATGAAGTGGTCAAGTCTTGCCTGTGTTACACCTCAAGATCTCTCACTCCACTGTGGTGTTCCACATTCAAAAACCAGGAGATGCTCTTTCAATTTCCCTTGTTTGAACACAACTCGCAGTTTTAAAAAGAGATCTGTTTGCATCTCCCAGCCTCCTAAAACTCTGCCAGCAGCCACTTCCATCTTTTTTTTTAATGATGAGACACTCTCTAGTTCCTCTGATGAAATAATTCCTAAGCTTGTGTCAGTAGCTGTGAAAAGCACAATCAATTAATGCCCAATGTCTTCATTTCACCTTCTAGAAATTTGTCTTCAGCTCTATGGACTCACAAATTTAAGGTCACAAGTACCTCACAGATTATTTTACACAGGTATGAAAAAAAAAACCACATCAGTGCAAATTGCCATTCAGGTAAATTTGAAGTAACAGCTAAAGTCAAACAGCTGGTGATTGTCCAAAACAAATTCCATTTCAAGGCAGAGAGAAGCCAGTTTATACTCACATGTCAAAAAAGAATTCGGGGATCTTTTCCAACAACAGTGTTATGACAGCAGGCTAAAAGAAAGAAAAAAGACAGTGTTAGGGTGATTTACTGGTTGTGCCGTGGTACTACCACCAAAACTGACCTTTCAGAAAAGATGAAATATACACAGAGAATAAAATGCTTGAAAGGTTCAATAAAGCATTGCCTGTATAAGAAATCTCTTGCCTAATGCCAGAAATGAGGAACACAGCCTAAGAAGTGAAAAGCGCTTTTCAGAGGGTGGTATAAACTACCCACACAACCAAAAAGAATATGGCCACATGGGCAGGATGTGCAATTCCTCTGGGCCAATGAACCCCTCTTTCTCAGACCCTGAGCTGCTCTTCACCACACAGAAAACTAAAGCATCAGTTTCAGGTACGTCTGAAAACAGTGCCCAGCTCTAACACTTAAATAAACTTTCTCCACAGTGGAAGTGATTATATCTCATCAGAATTTCCTATGGTTGACCTGAGCCATCATCTCTCATTCTGCCCCTGTTCGCCTTTGAGAAGAGTCTGGCTCTGTGTTCCCCACACCTTGCAACCAGGTATGTGAAGACCATGAAATTTCCCTTAACCTTCTTTAAAACTGAACAAACCCAGCTCCCTCTGTCTCTGTTTGTCTGCCATGTGTCTCAGGCCCTAAGCATCTTTGTCCCCACAACAACAAACTGGAGACTATTCCAGATGCAGCCTCACCTGCCTCAAAACCAGTTCTATTAATCCTTTACTTAAGTAAGCAAAATGTTCCCTACAATCAAAACCATTGTAAAGAGCAAGCTAAGGTTCCCATACCTGTAAGATCTTAATCCCAAGAAGCAGTTTAATGAGGCTTTCACAATATGAGTGCACCAGATTCCTGCAAGATGAAAGATTCCACCACAGTTTTGTTCAAAAACATGCTGGGAGAACAGGCTGTAGCTCTTCCCATTACCATTTTCTTTTAAAAACTACATTCAATGACTTAAGGTAGTACATGAAAATCACAGACATACAAAAAGGTTTACAACTGCACTTTAGCTCTGAACCAGCTCACTTTCTACAAGACTAGAAATGTCCAAGTCTGTGGTGAAGCTGTATCTCATGGGGAAAAAAAAATCTCAAAAAGGAATTGAACTTCACCAGTCCTGGCAAAGTTTTTTCATAGTACTTGGTTGTTGCCATAAACTGCCATGGAATCCAATGTGTGCCATGGGCAGACAGGAAATTCTGTGACTTAACACTCTAAACTCCCTGCTAATTAACAGCAGTGGACTACACCAGCCATCCTGCCTTGGTGTGCAGCAGTTGGAGCCTTTAGCTGCACTCTGGTCAATGTCACAGCACACAACTAGAGACTGGCTCTGACTGAGGGGGAAGGCAAAACACATGTTCTCTACCTCGACCCCTCAGTCCGTACAGGAGTGCATGGCAAGAGGCAGTTCTTGAACTGGTTCCTGTCCTTGATGTGAGATTCCAGGCCACTGATGAACTGCTTCACAACCTGCAAAGCAGAGAGAAGTTATCCAGTCAGCTGCTGTCCTTTAGGATGCATTTTGCTAGCAGTTGATGGTTGATGCATTTTGCTAGCAGGAAGAGCTAACCAGGGAACTGCAGACAGAAACTGTGATGGAAGGAATGCTGGAGAATAAATGAATGCTGGTCTAGACCATTTCCAGAGGAAACAGTGATTGTTCTGCAAAGTAACTCACATTTTACTTTGATTTAAAAAGACTTTGCCTTTCTTCCTGTTCAGCTGAGATAATGTGACAAGGGCTGCACCCAAAAAAACATTTGTAGTCAAATCATTGGCCTCAGGACTTTCACTCTGGACTTGATGTCTGGGGAGGAGCACCACATCATGGCAGTGTTAATGCTGCCAGCTCCCACCCAATACAAAACCAAACCCAGCTTCTACCACAAAGCTATGCAAGTGATTTGTCTGCTCTAAGAGTCTTTGTCTATTGAATAATATTGCCAATGAAAATTACTTTGACAGTCAGAAAAAAGTGGGACTAAAAGACTGTAGAAGCAATACTAAGAGAACTGGAAAATGTGAACCACAGAAATCCAAGACAAGCTGCTGTGTTGCACACTTTTGTATGGGACTAGCAGGAACAGGCAGCTGCATTTGCATCTTTTCCTACTCAGCAAACAGCTTTAAAGGTGGCTCCTGCCAAAGTTACTTACAGCAGGGTAAGTAGGGTGCTTCTCCAGGGCCAGGCAGAGCTTCTTCTGGAAAGCTATTTGATCAACAGCTAAGGAGACAGTTTAGAAAGGACATAAAGAATGAGACACAGTCTGTCCATCCAACATCATAACAGCTACACCAAGTACAAGCTCTCAAGCTCATCCACCAACATTTTGCATTTGCTCTATTGAGAAGTCCAGTTGGCAAAAGCCTGAGTGGAATCAGCACTTGTGCTTTCTCTAGTCAGGGCTAAGAGTAGCATTGAAGACACTGAATACAGGATTCCTGAAGGCCTTGCCTGAAATGAAAGGCAACAATGCCACGTTTGTTTCCCCATTTCAGAGCTCCTGCCTCTGCAATTCAATACTGTAATCACAGATGCAGTCTAATATTTTTCTATATACCTCCAATAATCTTTCAGAAGTCTTTAGACTTAGCAGGTGTACACCCAAAGAGGTGGAATGATGAATTTAGGTGATGCACTGAATTCAGCAAGAACAAGAAGTAGGTAACAAATAAGAGGCCAAATGAGGGTTTGCTTGAATTTTGAAACAAGCTGGCTCAAGTACTTTTGTGCTGCAAGTAAAACAAATCATTACTTTGTACCATCCATCCTTGCAGGTTTTGATCTAAATCAGAAACAGCAAATGTTGAACTCATACCTATTTCATTCTGTCCCTCCCCAGCTTTCAGCACAATTCCTGATGTCCTGAGGAGCTCTTCAAAGACTCCCTCATTCTCCAATCCACAGAAGGCAGAAGCATTTTCCTTATCAGAACTCCGTGACTTCTTGGTTTCTGAGAAAACAAGATATGCTGCATCAAATACATAAAAAATCAGCAATGTCATTAACAATCAGCATTACCAAAACTGCCATTTTGGCCCTGCCCCTGCTTGGGAGCTGCTGCCTTTATTAAAGGGTCTCCACCCCACTAAGATGATACCCAAGCACCTACTTGGCAAGTCTGTCTTGCAGCTCTCTTCAGAAGCATCAACTTTGGACAATTTCCTTTTTGAAACCATGGTAACAAAATCTTTGTTGTTTCCTAAAAAAATGCAGGAAAAAGACAAGTGTTTTCTTTATCTCTTTTTTTAAGCAGATCTAGAATGTATTAGTGAATAGCAAAAGGGAACGTGACAGAAGTTGAGAGTGCTCAAAGAAAGACAGATTGCCTGGGTAACCAATATCACACCACATTTTTCTGCTGTGCAGGTTGAAATTTTAGAGCTTGCCATATTTAAATAGCACAATACACCCCTTTTTCTAAAATTCAGCTCTTCATGAAACAAGGCTTGGCCTTTCATTCAGACACCAGGCAAATGAAATGGCAAATTAAAGTGAGCAACTATGAGGACCCAGATTGGATCCACTGAGCTAAACTCAAGACCCTCTCCACATGCCTGGACAAAGCAACAAAGGATTCACAGATGGGTGTTCATGAGCCCAAACACATTAAGGGATCCTGTTCATGTCCCTAACCACAAATCATAGCCAGTGAGCTCTGTCAGCACAAACCTCCATCTCACCCATCCTCTTTTGGGGAGTGGCAACGAGTAAAAAGAAAATAAAAATTACCTTTAAAACTTAAAAGTTATTAGAAAAAGATGTGTGTGCATCTCACACTAAATTTCAACTGCTTGGCAAAGGCAGGTAAAATGAGTTACTTAAAATATCAGCATGGAAGCGGAACACTTTAAGAACAAAAATGCAATGAGCCTTTCACAGCTGTTTCAGGTGTATAAACATCTGAAAGGTGGGTGCCAAGGGAATGGTGCCCGACTCTCTTCAGTGGCGCCCAGAGATGGGATAATGAACAACGGCCAAAACTAAAACACGAGAAGTTTCACTTTGACACCAGCAAAACCTTCTTTAGGTTGTGGATGGCAGAGCACTGGAACAGCTGCCGGGGAAGGCTGGACTCTCCCTCCCTGCAGACACTCCACACCCACCCGGGCCCGTTCCTGTGTCACCTGCCCTGGTGACCCAGCCTTGGCAGGGGTTGGACTGGGCGATCTCCAGAGCTCCCTTCCAGCCCCACCACCGCTGGGATTCTGTTCTGGGTGCGAGGCGCAGCCTGACAGCCCAGCCAGGGGCAGGCTGGCCCCTCTCCATCGCACCTACGGCCAAAGCTGGGCAGCGCCTCAGGCGGCCGTTCCACCTCCTCAGCCCAGCCCAGCCCAGCCCAGCCCACCTCACCTGAGCTGAGCCGAGCCGAGCCGAGCTCACCTCCCGTCCTCTCCGGGCAGGGCAGGGCAGGGCAGGACACGCCGCTGTCCCCTCACGCCGCTGTCCCCTCACGCCGCTCCCGCCACTCGCGCTCGAGTTTCCCGCCAGCAGCGCGCGCTGACGCCATTCCGCCGGCGGCGGAAGGGCCGGTCCCGGTGCCGGTCCCGGAAGCGGAAGCGGGGCGTGCGGCGGCGGCCCGGTGTCGGCCGGAGCCGGGCCCGAGGCGGCACCGCCGCGATGAGCGAGCCCGAGCTGCTGCTGGACTCCAACATCCGGCTATGGGTGGTGCTGCCCATCGTCTTCATCACGTTCTTCGTGGGCATGATCCGGCACTACGTGTCCATCCTGCTCCAGAGCGACAAGCGCCTCACGCAGGAGCAGGTGTCCGACAGGTCAGGGCCCGCCTCACCCCCGCCCGCCCCCGCTGCCCCGGCCCGGCCGCTAACGCCGCGTGTCTCTCTTCCAGCCAAGTCCTGATCCGGAGCAGAGTCCTTCGGGAAAATGGAAAATACATTCCAAAGCAGGTACGGACCTGCGCGGTCGGGCTTCCCAGGGACGGCCGGGAAAGGAGCACCGAGCGCGGGCTCTGTCCGGGCAGTGCCGCGGGAGGAGCTGCGCCCGCAAGGCCCCGCGGGTCGGGCGCTGCAGGGTCACCCCTGGGCCAGAGCAGTGTCCAGCTGTGCAGATTCCTAGGAATCTTGGACGCAGCACCGCCGTCTATGTCTTTTCCTTGACATTTATGTTAGCTGTCACTGCTCGATGTTTTAACTGCATGCTGATGTGAGATGTGCCTCCAAACTGCTGTGTTTAATATCTGCCAGCAAGCACACAGGGATGTAATGCGAGCTTGGGATAACCTGGTGGTCGTACAATGTCAGCTGAAATGTGTGCTAAACTCAAAATGCATCACTCGTGTTGGCTCTGTTGGTACCAAATGTGTATTTTGTGAAATCCAGGGGTCAGCTGGGTGAGTGAAAATGTTCCGTGTATCAGTATTGGTGCTCCACCAGCACAAAGAATTTGCACAAAACACTAAAAGTTCTCTAATTAACATGGGTTTCTCTTCAGATAATTCTTATAATTACTTTAAGAATTTTAGAAAGCCAGAGATCTGGTACTCTGGATGCAGAAAAATATGAGGAGCTTTAGAACACATGGGCAGTGAGGCACCTATCCCAGGAAGGTGTGTTGTGAAAGAACTCACGAGATGTCTGAATGTCTGAGCAAGAACTAATGCTTCTGTCCTTTTACTTCTTATGCTGTTGGCATTGTCTTTCTCTGCTTTCAGTCCTTCCTGTCCCGGAAATATTTTTTTAATAACCCCGAGGATGGATTTTTTAAGAAAACAAAAAGAAAGGTAGTGCCTCCTTCACCAATGACAGGTATGTTGAGGTACCCGAACTGCAGCCAGGTAGAAAAACCTGCCAGTGTCTGCCAAGGGTGGAAGGTGAATCAGCTTTGCAGGGAGCTCAGGCAGTGTGAGGGAGGGGGTGGGAGTGAGATCCCTCGCTTGAATAACAAAAGCATTAGATTGCTTCATGTTGCTTAACTTCAGCCTTGAGCTGCTTGCAGCATCTCAGGAGACCTGAGCTCCTCAGGGTAGCCAGGAGTGGGAATCCTGCTCTTGTCTCCTTGTGCCAGTGTTTTGCTCCAGCTCCCAGAGGGTCTTCTCTAAAGTGATTTAATTTAACTAATGTATACAGCAAAATAGGAGCTTGTTGTTGTTCCTCTACCCAGGTCAGCTCACAGAGGGGTCAGACAAGTTCAGAGATCTGGGGCAAGGGATGGGGTCAGGCACAGCACAGAACACAACACCTCTGTGGCAGCAGCCACCACCACACTGGCTGCTCATCTCATTTTGCAAAGTATTGTCAGCAATGGAAAATTATGGATACTGGGATAGGAGTGTTGTCTCATGCAGTTTCTTAATTAAATTATCTGGCATGTTATAACTTGTTTCTCTTTATTGCGATGTGGTGCTACTTCACATCCCATCTATGATTTGCAGATCCTACCATGCTGACAGATATGATGAAAGGGAATGTAACCAATGTTCTGCCTATGATCCTCATTGGTGGTTGGATCAACATGACATTTTCAGGATTTGTCACAAGTAAGTGTCTGGAGTAGCATGGGTTTGGCTGTGTTCCTGAGGATGACCTTGGGGGTCTGAGCTGCATTAGAGGTTTGCTCCTGGACTTGAGAGCAGTCAGTTAGGAGCAGCATAAATTTGGTTTGTGGCACTGCTGCTCTTCACAAACTGCAAAAATTTGCCTGTCCCATTGCAAAGGGTGGAAATTGTTTTCTGAGTGTTGGTCATGGTCTCAAAGAACACAGCTCATGTACTTGGGAACAACTGTAGTGACAAAACCAGTATTTTATTAAAACTGCATGAAATTCAGGTTGATACAGTGGATTTTCCTCTGAACCTGTCCAGGGAGTTGGTTACTGTGTGGAGTGTACACATCAAAAATACCTACTTAAATTCATAATTCTGGGATTTTTTTCCTATACTGTTAATGTGATAACTGTTTCTTTAACAAGGGACATTCCCTTTCACAGTCACTGTGAAGTAACACCTGTGAGGGTTTGGTCATCTGATGATTAAGTTTCAGAAAGTCTTTTCATGTTAAAATGAATACAGAACTGCAGCTTTTTCAGAAATCCAAGCTGTACACATTGCACTCAGACTACATTAGATGTAATAAAAGAACTACCTGCTCACTTGGCCCTGTGCTTTTCAATCATGCAGAGTCACTTTGTGAAACTGAGCTCTCTTTTCTTTACCCTGCAGCAAAGGTCCCGTTTCCCCTGACGCTGCGTTTTAAGCCAATGCTGCAGCAGGGAATTGAGCTGCTCACTTTGGATGCGTCCTGGTAAGCCCCTGTCCTCAGCAAGCAAGGTCCAGTTCCCACCTGGAAAATGTTGAAGTGTTAATAGCCCTTGGATGGTCTGTATGCTGCTGGAATGAGGTCATGAGCCAGCTTTGAACTGACAACAACTGTGCTTGTTCTGATTTGTCAGGGTGAGCTCTGCTTCCTGGTACTTCTTGAATGTGTTTGGACTCAGAAGCATTTATACTCTCATCCTGGGCCAAGATAATGGTAAGGCACTTGCCATTTCTGGGAACTGGCTGCCCCTTCCACGGCATGTTGTCTGAGGGAGGCTGGGGAAAAGATTTCTGAGTTTCCAGCCAAGAAGCTCCTGAATTCTCTCGTTTCTGTCAGGTTACTTACTGTCCGTGGGTCAGGTTTGGCATCACCTGCAGCAAGTACCCAAATGTCCTGCACCAGCCACTGGCTCCTAAACTTCCACTGTTGTTAGCCCAGGCTTTCTTTCCCATCAAATCAGTGCAAAGTTTTGCACTCAGGTTTGTTTTATTTCTAGCGAGTATTGGTTTTAAGGAAAACTGCAAAGATTTCCTAATGTTAGATGTGGGGCAGGACAAATATGCATTGGGAATAGAAAACTACTTTCTTCAATTTTTCTGCCTATTTTATGTAAATCTGGCTAAGACAGAGCAGCTGGGAGCAAGATGTCTTGTGAGGACTCCTGGCACAGCAGCATTGCATTCTGGCTGTTGCTGCAATGTTCTCGTCTGTAGATAAAATCCTTCCCAATTGCACCACGCTCCAGGGAATGCTGTTTAATAGCACAGAAATCAACCTCTCATTTCTCATTTGCAGCTGCAGATCAGTCCAGGGTGATGCAAGAACAAATGACAGGAGCAGCAATGGCCATGCCAGCAGATACTAACAAAGCATTTAAGGTACAGTATTGCCACCTGCACTCCTGTTTGT